GGAGAGGGGAGAGGGGAGAGGGGAGAGGGGAGAGGGGAGAGGGGAATAGGGCGGCATGAGATGAGGGATGGAAAGGAGCAGAACACGAGGAACGAGGAGGATCAAGCAACGACGAGGAGCCGAGAGCACTGCCAGTCGCATTCATGCTGACCATGTTAGCAGGGAACGCAGAAGCAGCTGATGTGAGGGTCCGGCTACAACAAGAACTCGACGGAGCATCGGAGGGGCTGAGATCAGAACCTCCCTTGAGACCTGCGAACTATGGAGCCCTCAACAGGGAGGGCGATGGGGGAGGGACAAGTGGAGGAAGAGGAGAAGATGGAAGAGGATAATGGTCATGTGCGGGAGGCCGGGATGTCCTTTCCTTTCATGCTGGAGGGGAGCTCGGCGATGCAAGTGGCAAAGAACGTGCTCGACTGGGCCCGGCCTCACGCAGAGCCGTTGGCTTCGAGATGCTCCGACGCGATCAGGAGCGCGGGACAAGTCTTCGGGGGCAAGAGAGGGAGAGGGGAGGAGGGGGATAGGAATGGGGAGGGGGAGGGGGAAAGCGCAGCTTTCACAGGGATGCGGTGGCTGGAAAGGATCAGACAGACGGCGAACTTGAACTTGACACCAGCTGGTGAGAGATTTACAGGAGCTGGAATGCGATAAGAGAAGCAGAGGAGGAAGGGAGATGGAAAGTGAAGGAGGAGGAGAAAGAGAAGGAGGAGGGGGAGGAGGAGAAAGAGAGGGAGAGGGAGAAGGGGGGGGGGAGGCGTAGAAGGATGAAAAGTCACGCCATGTACAGCAGGCAGCATTACTGAGAGATCTTTGAGAGCGAGCAGCGATTTCTTCGACGTGATAAAGAATGTGATGTCGATGAAACAACATGAAATCATCCTAGGAAAAGATGGAGCCTGGGTAAGATCCTCTTTGCTGTTGCTTCTCCTTCTTCTCCTTCCCTTGGCTCAACTTCTTTCACTTTGTCCTCTCCCTCTCCCCACTCCACTCTGTCCGCCTGCTCCTCTCTGGTCGCTGCGATACCATCTCCTCCCCTCTGTCACTCGCTCAGTTTGCTGCTCTTTCTCGATTTTGGGAGAAGACAGATGATGTGACGTTGCTCGAAGATGTTGGAGCATATCATGAACATCTACAAGACACAAGTGGAGCACAAAATCAAGAACGTCAGTACGAGGCAGATGATCAAAGGATTGGTTGGAGTTGCCTGCCTGCAGGTGGGAACGATGTTGTCGTTTGTGACGCGTTCTCCATTCTGATTGCTGTGGTTTTGAGACCGCAATCTTGTCTGAGAGTCTCAGTCTCAATCGCTCATCTCACCTCTCTGATCATCTCAGATTTTCGCCTCTTCTCTCTCATTCTTCTCTACTCTCACCTCCTTCGTTGGCTATCCCTGACACTTCGATCGTTCAGTTCATCGAAGAAGTCGACTACGGTTGTCAAGGATGCCTAAACAAGCTGAAACGGGAGAGGAATAACGAACGTGAGAACTCCATTCACGGAGGAGAAGGAGATTGTGTTGGTGGCTGTGGAAGTTTTGGTCGAGGAGGAGGAAGAGTCAAACGATTGTGATGCTAATGCTGATCATGATCATGACGGCGACGATGAGGATAAACCTGATAAAAAGATGTTGATTTCGATAATTTCGATGATGATGATGGATGGCGTCCCTTTCGACGAGAGCAATAATGTTTTGGTTTGCACAGCCCCTCCCTGCCTGCAAGACGACGATGACATCAACATCGAGGAGCTGCGCAGATATGCGAGGTTGGCATCGCTGTGTTACGGGAGAGGTGAGGGAAAAAGTCAGGAGGGTTTGCTGCCTCACGATTCTTATGATCAAGTTCACGATATCGTGATGGGAGACTCCAAGGTCGATGCCAAGAAACTTCTGCAGAGAAACAAAGTGTGATGTTGTTGCTGTCTGTCATCTCAAACTCAGCAACAACCAGGACGCTGTCTTGCAGGATCTCGAGCTCGACGAGACTTGTATAATACAGGAGGAGTGGACGAGCGCGGAGCTGCACGAGCCTTGTTTTATCCTTTTGTTGGACAAGAAGGTGACGATGATGCTGTTGGTGCTAGGGAATGACATTGTCTGTCCTCCTCCTCCTCCTCCTCCTCCTCCTCCTCCTCCGCCTTCTCTCCCTGTTTTTCTGTCTCTCAACCCCTTTGCTTCATTCAGTTTCGCAACCTTGTCCTGGCAATCAGAGGAACTCGCGACGTCTCCGACGTGCTTGCCGACCTTCGCTGCTCCTCCGCCCCCGTTCGTCTCCTCGGCCTCGAGAACGCGCTTGTGCACCAGGGTATGTGGGAAAGCGCCGTGAATATGGACGCAAAGCTGCGCGAGACTGTTGAGGAGAAGTTGAGGACGGATGCGAGGTGAGGAAGTGGCAGAGAGGGATGCAGAGGGGGAGGGGGAGGGGGAGGGGGAGCGGGGGGTAGAGGATCTAACGAGGGGCTGCAGAGGCTTTGGGCTAAGGCTTGTCGGTCACAGCATGGGAGGAGGAGTAGCGTCGCTCCTGACGGCGCGATGGCAGCAGCTCTTCCCTCAGATCCGCTGCTTCGCCTTCGCTGCCCCCTGCTCGGTCTCAGAGCAGCTGAGCGAGAGAGTTCGTGGGTCCATCACATCCATCCTCCTCCGAGACGACGTCATCTGCCGCCTCTCCCTCGGCAGGTGAGGCTCAGCGCTGGAGGGCGCGACGAGCTCACTCGCTCCTCGCAGCGTCTGCGACGTGTGCGATGCTGCTTGTCTCCTGGCAGAGGAGGAGGAGGCGGTCGAGAGGATCGTAAGGATGTGCATGCGTCGCATGAAGAGTCTGCTACCGCTAGAGGTAGGAGGAGGAGGAGGAGGAGGAGGAGGAGGAGGAGGAGGAGGAGGAGGCGAAAAGGACAGAGCGGAGGGAGAGGTGGACGAGATGTGGAGGAAGAGCTACCTGAAGGCAATAGAAGCGAGCATGGTCAACGACAAGCTCTATCCAGCAGGAAGGCTGCTGTGGTTCCTGGACGAGGAAGGAAGATGGGTGAAGGTGATGTGAGCGATGGTGAGACCCGAACTGATCTCGACGCAGGAGGAGGTGCCGCTGACGATGGGGAGGATTGTGTTTGCTGCAGACATGCTGTCTAGCCACCTGATGAGGAGCTACGAGAGAGCGATGAGGAGAGGAGAGGGAGCTGGGAAGGAGCAAGGAGACAAGGGTCGCTGAGTGAGCGAGAGAGCCCGGGGGAAGAATCAGAGCGAGAGCAGGCGGACTGGGAAGGGAGGAGAAGGATGGAGAGGAGAGTGAAGGGAGCAGCGAGGAGGCGGGGAAAAGACAATCTTCCATTTCTTGATTTCTTATTCATTTTCAATTTAAAGTCTTTCAAAGATCACTCCTGTTAATGGTTGATTGACCAAAATTAAGAAAAATATTCACAACCCATATGTACAATGCAGGCCCCCTTCAAAACCAGCGGCTGCTGCCGCTGCTCCTCCTCCTCTTCAATTCCTCCTCCTCTTCACTTCTTGACAGCGACAGTGAGTGGGAGGTCATCGTCGGAGTCGAACGCGGACTTCTTGACGGAGAGAGGCAAGTCGTCATCCGAGTCGAAGAGGGACGCGGGAGACTTCTTCGACCCCTCCATCCTCATCGTCCCCTTCTTCTCCTCGCATGCCTCCCTGCTCATCAGGGCCCCGTCACTCCTCTTGGTCGGAAGCGCATGAGCTAGAGGCAGGTCGTCGTCCGAGCTCAAGTCGGGCTTCCTGCTCGGCATGCTCGTCTGAGTGGAGACGTTCTCGTTGACCTCGACGCTCATCGGCCCTTCTCCTTGGCAGTCTGCTCTCAGCCCCTCCTTCCTGGCTGCCTTGGGCCTGATCCTGAGCTTCAGCGAGCCCTTTCCGTCATCAGTGATCAACTGCCACACACAGGGTAAGACGACACAGTCACGCCCTCTCCTCTTTCTTACAGTGCATCTCCACCTCGTCCCCGCAAACCTCTTTGTGGCGTTTGCAACTGCGAGGAGACGCGTCAGGATGTCAATCGCTCCCCTTCCCTTCACCACCTTGACTGCACCCACCTTCAATCGACGTCTCGTAGTCTCGTTGCCTCTTGCCCTTGTCCCTCAGCAGGTTCTCCGCCGACTCCTCTACAGACGAAGGAGACGCCTGCGCCTTATCTTCTCTGCCCGAGTCCATCGGGGGAGTTTTCCATCCCACCTCCTCCTTCTTCTGCTCTCCATCCGCAGACATGTCCACGTCAGAGCCCATCCCATGGGTGCTCCTGACGCTGCTGGTCCGAGAGATGCAGGGAGTATTGGCGATCGAGTCCTCCTCCTCCGACCTCAGCGGGTACTTGGCAGCAAGGAAGTCCTGCTCCTCTCCAAGCAGGAGCCTCTTCGCCAGGGACAGCTCACCTGGCTCGATAAACTTCTCGCTCTCACTTGCTTTCCCCTCAGGCGCTGAGCCGCCGCTCCTGCTGGATGCGATCGCTTCCGCGATGTCATCGCAAACGGCCTGGAGCCTCTCGAACGGGCACGACAAGTTCTTGTCGCCTCCAGGCTCCACGACACGACGGAAGGCGTACGTCCATGCAGATGTTGCATCCTCCTTGGAATGAAAGTTCCCAAGATGGTATGAGGTTTCGTCGACCACAACCATCGCTTCCCACTTGTTGTTGTCATCTTCTGGCACGTCCTCCCTCGCTCTGATCCAGCTTCTTGCTTCTGCTTCTGCCACTCGGATGGCAAGGCAAGCTCCATCCGGTTCGCTGCACTCCAGCTGAGCAAGAGCAGGGACGAAGCGCTTCAAGTGCGGTTTCTTGTGAAGGAGATGCTTCCTGAATGCGATCAGCGCGCGATTGCCACGAGGCTTGAGAAGCGCCTGCCAACCTTGTCACAACCAGCAACAACCAACTGCCACGTCCTCACCTTGAGACTCGGGAAAGAGTCCACAGCATACAAGGGTGACTTAGGGACCTTCTTGGATTTCTTGCTTTTGTTTCCAAAGGAGATGGAGAATTGTCCAAGGTTGTCTCCAACCAGTCCGATCACATCGTGAGTCTCGTCCAGCGTGTCAAGGTCCTCCCCTCCCGCCTCGTCGTCTACTTGCAGCCCTTTGATGCCTCCTTCGACGATCTCCTTGTCCAGAATGTCTGCGATGGCTTTCTGCAGTACCTCGTTGCTGTATCGAATCCCTTGAACAAGCAGTCAGGGAGCATTACAAGGGAGCAAATCCAACATCCTCACTTAATGCTAACTTGCCACGTCCAAGGAATGCAGCGTGCTCAGGACAAGCTCGCAGCTCGATGTCTTTGTTGTCCACATGCTCTACATATGCCATGTGGAGGATGTGGTTGCAGGCGTAGCACAGCTGCCGGTCATACGGATCGACGTCGCACTTGTGCATGTATGAGATCTGCATCCACAATTAGATCCATTCGATCGTCTACCAAATGGCAAGATTGTCACACCTCAAGTCCTTGCCGGGATGCCCACTTGATCAGCTTCGTTTGCCAGGCAGCGAGGGCTCTGAACCTGCGGGAGGACAAGGAGGTCACTTGTCAGTCGTCTGAGATCCTGTAGACTCACGTCCAGATGAGCGAGTCATGGGTGTAGCTGGCTGCATTCGTGATCCGGCGATCGTAGCCATCGTTCTCCACCTTGAGCTTCCTGAGCATCCTTTGGTTGGCAAAGTTGATGCCCGCATGGATGATAATCTTCTCGATGTCAAGACACGACCTGAACGAGGCGAGTGTCAGACCGGACTACACTTGCGATCTGCAGACAGACATGCTTCCACTTGCTCGATACCGACTGAGCGAGACAAGGCCGTAGGGGATCCAGCTAGGGAGAGCAAAGTTCACAGCCTCCCCTTTGTGAAAGCCTGGGCTCAAGGGTGAGGACTGAAATCTTCATCTACGGAGTTCATACCATGGTTGAACCCGGCGTGATAGCCGCGAGGAAACGTTATGACAAATTCTCTTGGCCTCTGCGTGCAGCGGAAGACCTGGATGAAGAGTTAAGTCACCACAAGTCGCGGGTCGAAAAAAGAATCACCGGTACGCCTCGGCTCTTGAGTAATGAGGGAGATATCATCACCTTTGAGGCATGTCACATGGATCAACCCCGGCCCTCCTCAAGCGTCACCGTTTTCCGCATCAGCATGTGTTCTCCTTCTTTCATCAAGGGATGATTCTTATCAGGATGACTCTTGAACGTGTCCTTGACCTTCACAGGCCCTATCAGTGGTCCCAACACCAACAAGCTGAATTACCGCTGTTTCCAACGCTGCGGCACAATGTCCCGGGACCACGTACCACGTCTTTGGGCTACCTTCGTGCATATAGTTGATGCTGTAAAGTGCGTTGTCCTCGTAGTGCCAACAGAAATGGGCAAACAGTATCTGATGTGTGCAAGTGAGTTGACAACAAGCCACCAAAATCGAATCAGAAGTTTTACATACCCCCACGTACATCATAGGCGTGTTAACTCCCGGAATCTGCAGCCATGATAAGATGAGAAGCCTGGGACAGATCGAAGCTCGTACATTATCATCAAACAGTCCCAAGATTGACTCTTCGCCTTTGGGAAGCCTGTTCAAGCTCCATTCACCGAAATCATTTCCGCAAGCGGATCCCTCGACCTTGATTTCAACATCAGCTGATAGCGGGTCAATACATCGCAATCATCACTCACGTCATTGGCATACTGAACCGTGAAATTGCTTGCAGTTGACATTGTATACCAGAATTCACGTTCTACTGTTCTCTCGTCTGCCTTGTCCTTTTCACCAAAATAGCCTTTGAAACGTTTCTCGCCTAACTTCTTGTATCTTTCGAAGAAACAAAAGCATGTCAGGTTTTGATCGGTAACGGAATGTTGTTCCATACTCATCGTATGAATAATGGCGATAGTACTTCTTATGCGATGTATGAAACGCCACCCCTCCTGCATCGAAGTCCTCCACTCGATGCAGCACATGTTGCTAGAGATAGTTCAAGTCACAAGCAATGCACGACCTTCACCTCAAATTTCGCAAACAAATAGTCTCACATGCGTTGTGGGAATGGTGTCCCTGCTAGGGGAGAAGGTAGGGCAGAAGGAGTCGGGTGGGATGATTTTGCAGCCGCCATATTTGGCGCCGATGGGAGCGATGGACCTGATGTATGCAAGGGGGTCGGCGAATTCTTCTTCAGTCGGCCTGAACTCGATAGCGTCGGGCAGATCGTCCTGCATCTTCTCGATCCATGCCGGTCTCTCCTGCCACCGCAGGTGAACAAAGCAGCAAGCACCTGGGCACACAACCATCCTCACCTGCTCTTTCTGCCGTTTCTTCTCCAGAGCCTTGGCAAGCTTCTGCTCCTTCTGCTTCTCTTTCTCCTCAAACCGTTTTATCTGAGCAAGGATCAACTGCTCCTCACGGGACATGTTGGCCAGCAGTAAGCCTTGTGTTTCTCGTGTCCCGCAAAAGCTTCAGCTCAGTTTATGCTTGCTTCGACGATCAAGATCAAGCGCATATATATGTAGGATATGACCAACAAATCAAAAAAAATCCCAGTTGTGCTTTTGATTCGGAGGTCCAGAAGGCGGGCAAGGATTCCAAGAAAACTTTCAATTCAGTCCTGTTCATGGGGCAAATCAGTGTGTCTAGCTCGAAGCGATTGCATGGTAGCAAACACAACAGTTTCAAATCAAACATGAGGGAACAGCAACAGGGGGGAGACACAGAAGGGCCCGTGGCCATCTGAGACGCACACAAGGGGCGAGAAGCGTTTGAAAGCGAGCTCAAGGCACAAAATGCTTCAACACCCTCCAACAAGTTTATCACGAGCGTTCTACGTCAGCATCAAAGGAGAGGAACTGGTAGAAGATGTTTGGAGCATAGTGGGGCAGGGGGTTATGAGTCAGGACGCTATGCGGCATGCGCCGGCATCTCGATCAGAGCAGGAGGCATTGGTAGGTGGCGGGAAGCTTGAGGTACCCCTACCAAGTGCCCATTCTAAACGGGTACTGCGGTAGGGGTTGGAGGTTGGTTCCATTGAGGAGGGGTAGGTATCCTTCCATGCGGGTCTATAGTGAATATAGCAAATTTTGACTATAGGCCCAAAAAGGGCTCCAACCGAAGCCGTGGGACGGGTACTTTCCAGTGCAGGAAAAAGGTAAACACTGGGGTCTGAAGGGTGATGGACCTACCCTACCCTGTTTTGACCAGGACAATGCTTCCAATTGACCCTTATTTATGAATAGGAATGATAACAGCATCACCACTTGACCACCCGTACCACCTCCCAGTTTTAATTTTGATAGGGGAGGTGCAGGATATGGAAAGGGTGAGGGTGGGGTCTCTATAGTCAAACGAGATGGGGGAAGGTGCCGAGTGGGGTCATTTACAACTCTTTTCCACCCCTACCCCGTCAATACATTTGACTCTGACTACCATCAAATTTTACTATCCAAGTACCCGTGATCTCGGACCCTCACCCTCAGATATCTCCCCCGCCTCTTTCGTGGACGTCAGCAGGTCCACGTGTGGTAATATTGCACGGATTTGTAGTAAAAAAGAGTCTCAATCGTTTCATTTTAAAAAATGAATATCCTGGGGTCGTAACCTCGTCCCTAAACGACCAAGGTAGGGGTGAGATGGGGGTACAGTTGTACAGGTGTTCAGTCGGTGAAGTCAAAAGGGTGGGTGATATGAGGCAATCTGAGGGTCTAGGTCAGTGAGGGGTAGTACAAGTTTTGACATTGAACCCGTCTTCTTTACTACAGATCATGAGGTCAAGAAGGCATAGTGAGTGAGAAAATAGTAAAAATACAATGGGCAGCGGCCCGGAGTTCTATTCTCATAGAATATATTTGCGAAAAAGCTTCTTACCAATAGTTCTACCTGGAAAGCTGACATCTCGTCATGTGACCCAAAGTTCAATACTACCCCCCCCCCCCCCTGCTGTGTTTTCGGAGCTGGAAGGACGGAAGTTGGTGGGTGGGGTGTGACGGGGTTTACTTACGTTTGACTGATTCCGTGGGGTGAAAAAAAATTGACATGAACCGCTCGATGTTAGGTCGAGGCTCAGGGGCCGCCGGGCCCGGGGCTCACAGACGCAGCCTGAGTCTTGGGCCGGCTCCGAGCCTCCCGGAGTCCGGACCGTCCGGGAGGCGCCGGGCGAGCCGCTGACTGAGCTGAGGCCCGCCGGGCACCGCCCGGCCGGAGTCTGGCCCGGGCATCATACGGTCGGGCCTCAATCCTTGGACGTTTGGACTTGGACCGTACTACCCGTACGGGTACGCCGGTCACTGGCCCCGGGTGAACTTGGAAACTGCCGGGAGTTCCGTCGGCCCGGTATTCAGACGGGCCGCGCCGTCAGCGGCCCGGGAACCGGGGCGCGGCAGCGCCAGGCGTCACTGCGGCAACTCATTGCCGGCTTCTGGCTCTCCGCGCCGAGGCTCAGTCCGAGCCCTCGGAGACGGAGTCGGAACTCCGAACGTCGACTCGGCTCCTCAGCGGGCCCGGGGAGTCAGCCTGGGCCGACGGACCGTCGGACGGTGCGCCGGGCCCGGGCCGCTGCCGGGAAATTCGGACCGGCCCGCGGCTCGGCCCGGCCGAGTGCGCCTTGCCTCATCTTGCTGTAGAACAGCAACGAGCTGAGCGACGAGGGCGGGAGAAGAAGAGATAGCTGTAGTTTGCTGTGGGAGAAGGAAATGAGTTCACCTGATGAGCTCTCCGTGTTCTCTTCCTCTCATCCTCCTGTGAAACCATGCTTGAAGGATGCTAGAAAGGATTAAGGAATACCTGCTGTTGACCTTGTTGCTTCTGAACAGATGCGTTTCCTCTTGGCTGTAACAGCGTTGCAAGCCTTCCTCTTCCAGACAGGTATCTCTGTAACCCATCCCTTGCTCGATCACCGACATGGTTGCCAGGGTCAGGATTCGTCGTCAGCCCCAGCACTGCGGGGATCAGGACAGCAGCGTCATCACTCACGAGCTTACGGATGGTGAGTGGTGAGCGATGCAACGCGAGTCTGATCTCTTGCAAGCACTCCCAAGTCCCTGGCAACAACGGGAGAAGAAAGTTCGTCCAGTCGCTCGTCGTGCCTGTGACGTTGGCTCTCTCGACCAGCCGCGCCGGAGCACTCACAGAGGTAAAGCTCTGCCAGAGCTGTTGCTGCGTCGTCAGCGTGTCGATGCAGGAGGAGGAGCTGGAGAAGCTGCGTCGAGAGGCAGCCAGGATCCAAGGGCTCTTCGACAGGTCGACATGCGCCTGCAGGCTCGTTGTTCACTAGATGTTCCCACAGCCAGCGAGCCGCTAACGAGAACCTCCCTGGCCTAAGGAGCTCTGCTAGCCAGCCCCAGGCTAAAGTAGGAGAGAAGGTGGACCTCGTATCAGACGGTAGGCAGGAAGGAGCAGCGGGAGCCGAGCCCTCGTCCAAGCTGTCAACCACAGACGTGGTCACCCTGCTGATGGGAGCGTTGAAGAACAACAACGACCCGGCTCCAGACAACGGATTGAAGACGATCCTCAGGTTCACCTCGCCCACCAACCCGATCAAGAGCCTGCCGGAGGAGACTTTCTTCAACCAGATGAAGAACACCAAGTACAAGTGAGGCCCTGACCTGCCCTGTGACGCCCGCTGAACCCACCTCCCTCCTCGCAGTATCCTCCTGGGCAACTTCGATGACTTCAAGATCAAGACGCTGGGCGGCCCCTTCGTCAACGAGGGAGCCAAGGTGGAGATCATGGAAGTGAAAGTAAGAGCTCCCTACAAGCAGATGCTCATCAACGGCGTTCCTCCCGAGTTTGTCGAGAGCGTCCCCGACCAGCCCAGTAAGGCCCAGGTGACCATGAGGTGGCAGTTCAGCCAGGACAAGGCGTCGGGCGCGTGGCTTTCGGACACCCTGTACATGGTTCCAGCAGAGGGCTCTGCTCAGTAGAGTGCTCGAGAAGAGGAAGAGATCGCTGTGACGACAGGGAGCGTGGAGAAGGGACGAGAGAGGGAGGAAGGGGATAGCTTGTGGTCGTGCTGAACCATTGAGCACAATCTTGTTCTTTCAGGTATCTGATCATTCTGCGCTCCTCAAACGTCATTTGGCGGGGGGGGCTTGCAATGTGTCGATGAGCTGAGTCAGTTCTTGCAAGTCCTCGTCTTCTGATTTTGCTGCTCAAATGTCTGTCAGGGCAACCTAAGTGACTTTCCCTCGCTCCTCCCCCACCTCCATCACGCAGCAGCATGTCCTGCCTCTCCTTGAGCACTTTAACAAGCCCAGGGAATTCTTCTCTCATCATCTTTGCCTGTCGACATGCTCTTCAGCTCGTCAGAGCGCACAAAGTAGTCTAAACCTGCTCCTGGTCCTGGTCCTGTGACAGCGCAAGAAGTGCAGAGGTGGCAAATTCAAAGACCTGGTAGCTCATCAGCCAGCATGACACGATCATCGGCCACAAGACCTGTGAGTCTGTCGTGTTTCCTCCAAGTATGAGGAGGTTGACGAGCTCTGGGAGCACTCCCTTTCCTTTGTCTCCCCGTTCCACCTGCGATGCTCATCATGAAGACTCGCAATGACCTGATGATTACCAGCACAACAGCTTGCCTCAGCATCGCGTTGGACTTGAGTCTGATCAATGAAAAACAGTCACTATCTTTCAGAAATCAGGAAGACAAGGGATAAGAGGGATCCTAGACAAGCAAACAGGATGATTGACCCATCAAAGAATGATGGAGAAGTGAGTTGGAGCATCACAATTGAGACATGACGAAAGTCGCTTTCCGCTTGATACGAATCTCTCCTATCTGTCCGCAGGTCATCGTAAACCCTCAATCTCCATCGCCTCCACTTGCCTGTATGTCAACCCGCAGCATCGCAAGGCCGTTGTTGAACAAAAACCAGAGTTCACTCGTTGAGTTCCCCTTGATGAGAGCCGAGAGGGCATGGAGAGCCTTTAGGAGAAACCCACCATAAGAAACAAGAGACACAGGAGCCCTCCAAAGCCTCTCGCCCTTGCCTTGTATCTCGTCGAGGACTCTTCACTTCGGTTCGCGTACATCTGAGTCAGCAGGTTGAGAGCGCCGTACTCCACTGCAATCTTCCCTCCTCGTATCAACACCGTCGTCTCAACACGAGAGTGTCAACTTTCAGACCTGCTGCATGTTCTGATAGTTCTGGACGGAGACGGCTATCGCATCTGCTGCCCGCCATCGGACCCCGCTGTGGTTGCTCTTGAGACAATCCACCAGTGGTTGGAACCCGCCTGCCACGTTGATCAGCAGTTCACCACCACCACCTCCTCCTCCTCCTCCTCTTCACCGAGGTTGTTCAGCCCGAGCGCGAGATCCATGTTGTCCACTCGCTCAGTAATCACCTCCAACGCTCTTTCCTTCATCGCCACGTTCTCTTCTGTTTGATCGATCAACGTGGTCGATACATTACAGCTTCCATGCTCGTCCGGGCTCGAATCATCATGCAAGTATGACACACCTGAGCTCTCATTGAGATCGAGCTGCTTCACAGATGTCTTGAAGACGTCTGTCGTGTTTTCCAGCATCTCCTTCATCGCATCCTATCACCCCAGTCATCGCACAGAGGGCAACAACACATAGAGCACGAGGAGGAGGTATGTGAGTAGGCATGCCGTCGTGCAATTCAAAGCATCACCTTCAGCCATTCCATCCTCTCCTGAGAGTAGGTGATATTCGGACGCCCTGAGCTAGCAGTAACGTCAATGCCCCACCCAAAACCTTAACGGGTGCAACGAAACCTTGCGTTGGTCAGAGACGTGGAGAAGTCCAGGAGGTTCCGAAGCACAGGAAGCTGCAGGCTAGGGGTCTGAGACTCTTCCTTCCCACCCCTCAGCCTGCAACGCAGCGGAGCATCGAGAGCCCTGAAGGTTCCGGGCGAGTTTGCAACTGGTTCGCTGGATGCTACCACCGCAACTCGTTGCGAGAGCCAACGTCCCGATGATCTAGGCAGGGATATCGATGGCAGATCAGCCGACTCGCCGAGGAGCGGGACAATCAAGCACACTGCGGTGAATCGTGTCAGAAACTTTACAGAGCAGTGGCTGGGCGCCATGATGTCACAAAGGCCCTGCCCTCCCACCAGCGATTCCCTCCTCTTTTATACTTCAGCTTCTCTCCCCTCCTTTCTTTTCTCCTCTTCCTTCCTTTCTCCTCTTCCTTCCTTTCTTCCTTTCTTCCTTCCTTCGTTCCTTCCTTCCTCCTCCTCCTCCTTCTCCTCCTCCTCCTCCTCTTTAGAGACACCTGTCACGACGATCGCTCTGGCATCCATCATGCTCGCTCCTTCTGGATTCGAGATCGATCAAGCTTGCCTCAGCTTCTTTATTACAAACTGAAAAAAGGCAGCAGCCCATGACTGCACACTCCGCACCCAATCCGGCCCGTCTAATTTTGAGTGGATTTATTAATTTCCACCGGGTATCATCCGGCGGGAGAGTGTATGGGGCTATTGGGCCACTCGTCTTCACGTGCGGAGGAAGTTGGAGCGCGCCAGCATTGCCGTGGAGAGGGGGAGGAGGATCCCTGTCGGCGCGCAGGAGGAGGCCCCCTGTCCATCAGAGCATAGGAGGAGGTTCGTATTGCTGTATCAAGTGCCTGTGCGAGGTTTTCCTTGCATGCCGTGAGATGTTGCGGGAGAGAGGAGAGGGTGAATCTCTCGGGAGGACTCTCGTTGTGGGATCTTGCGATGTCCAGTGGGGAGGAGCCCGTGATGGTGTCATGAAGGGAGTCATGAAAGGGGTCGACAAATCGTTGATCACGTGCATGCTGGGAAGCTGTGTAGAACTCAAGTGATGTTCAAGAATCAGAGCTGTTTGTCCGCATGATTGCCTTGCGATCGTGTCATGGTATTGAGAGGAGATCGAACTATTCCGTTTCGATGCATATGTTGACATTGTGAGCATTGCATCAGATTTCTTAAATCATGGCTGTCGATGAATGTGAATCCTTGTCAAAACACATTCAACTCACTTTTGTTTAACAAAGAAGGCGTATTCGGACAAGGAGAATGAAAGAGGATGAGTGGTGACTGAAGTCTGGAGAATCATGCCAAAATCTGGTAAACACGATGATAACACCAATCTAAACCTGTTGTATATCATTGTGTGGATGCTTTTGAACTTCACATGCAGCTCTTCCCTAAGGAGATGAGAAACAAATGGCTGAAGTACAAACAAGGATAAATCTGGAGTCACCAGCCAAGAAGCCTCGGATTTCGAAAGCAGCAGGTGGAGAAGGATTCATTTCACTCTCTCACATTGACTGTCGATCTTTCAGATGATGAAGAAGAATGGCATGAAGAAACAACAGAAAGCGACTTGACTCCAAGCAAGGGGGAAGGGCCCACATACGCGCTTGCAGGGATGAAGATCTATCACAGCCCGCGAAGCGAGATCAACGATCTTGTGCAAGGCTCGTCCGATCCTGCCCTCTCCTCGCACATCGAGGCTGGGGCGCGCATGGCGGCCTCCGGAGATGTCGATCCTGGCGTCGACGATCTGCCTGAGGAGGGGAGCCAGCAGAGTGGTGCCATGGAGGACACGTTGCTGGGAGACGAGCCCCTGACTGAGACTGACGCGAGCGGCAACGTCAGGTTCTATCCTGTGCTCGTCAAGTCGGACGGTACCCAGATTCCAGTGAGCGCAGAGTACCTGCGACGTCTCGGCATCCGGTGGCCTCTACCTGCCATGGACCTGCATGGCATTGCGCAACAGTTTCAGGCGCAGACCGACATTCATAGCACCTCTGCCATCACTGGAAGTGCACATCGGTCTAGCCTGCGCATGGGTTCCTCCTCCTCTACTCCTCAGCCAAGAAGCATGCGGCAAGGAAGCGACGCTCCATCTCTTCCTGAGAGCCTGACCAACTCCGGGAGGGGGCAGGACGAAGAGGGCGATGCTCATCCATCGAATGAAGGCGGCGATGCAGCCTCGCATGGCGGGGAAGCAACACCTGCTGCGGCGCTGCAAACGGGAGAAGTGCTGTCGGAGACTGTGTCAGACCTTGCTCGGTTGGTCGGGTTGAGGCAGGCAGCTCCACCTGCTCGGCTGGATAGCTCGGGGCTTGCTGCAATTCTGAGACCATCCGGAGCGGGCTCGGAGGCTGTATCGGGGACTGATGAACGGAGCAGGGAGGAGGCATCAGATATTCAACCTCCTGTGCTGACTCCATTCGAAGAGTGTCCGGGGGTTCCGAGAGCTTCAGCCTCAGCAGCTGAGAGGTCCAGATGAGAATCTTTCTTTTCGGTCAGCGCGGCATTGGCTATTAATTGACATGTGTGCATTAAAAGTGTTCTATCGTTGCCTGACCCTACTCTCGTGGCGGGCCGGGCCGCCCCGTCCGACACGGTTCGATGCCATGATGACGGTCACGGTCACGGCTCAGTACTAGGGCCTCGAGTCTGCTGGCCTCAGTACGCCGGTAGTTCAACGGTTGGCACGGTCACCGTGGGCCGGCGGGCCGCGTACGGTAGTAGGCTCACCCGCCGGGGGATGATCGCCCGGACTGTGGGTCCCGGGCCTGCCCGGGCCGGGATCGGAGCCGCGTGACTCGGCCGAGCGTCCGGCCCCGGATCGGAGTCACTGACAACCTTCACACGGCTGCAACTGGAGCCCGGCCGCCACTCCCTCCGCTGTTTTCCCGCCAATCTCTCTGCCAAGAACTACCACCTACCCCCTTTCTCGAGCATACCACATGGGGTACTTTGATACTACTACTTGTGACCCCTGGTGTTGATCGCGAAAAATGACCCTTTTTCGGCCAGGGACCCTCGCTTTCCGAATGTTACTCACCCCCTATCACATTCACCCCACCATACACTTTCCCACAAATATACCCCCCTTTTTCCAGAATCACTATGTTGGCTCTCAACCCCCACCCTCAACAATCCCTAGGAGCTCCCCTCGCAAATTTCCCGCCATCCCATCGTCGCGCAATGAGCGAGTTCGAGGTAGTAGCATCGGAGATCAACGAAACCCTCAGTCTCCTCCACGAGCACAAGAAGTCCTCCAAACACCCAGAACCAGAATTTGACAAGTTCGTTGATGAAGCTCGGCAGCTCGCTACCCTGCTGGTGACTGGTTACGCCAACGCTTTGGCCAAGAACCCAGATGGCCCAAATCTGGTTCATATTCTGAAGCCGATGCTCCTTTTCTTGAGAGGTGTGCGGTCTTTGTACGTCGCTAGATCACAATCGTTTCCCAATCTCTCGGCTGAAGCCAAGGAGATTTTGAAGCTGAAGATGAAGAGCGAGGTTGATGCTGCAAGGGTCATGCTGCACAGCACCATTGATCATATGATGCCTGGATCAAATCCGACCATTCTCTACTCCAGCTTGAACATAAAGATACCGATGAAGTCGGAACATTTTGCCATTGACAACATGAAGAATGAGTGGAAGATCAACTTGAAGCACCTCGTTGAGTCCCCAGCTCAGCGACACATGCCCGAGGCCAGGTGGACTGTCACCTCTGGGGTGTACAAGAAGGGGATGCGGGTCACTGTGAGGCGATTTCACGGCGATGATGATGAAGATCTGAGACATGCGGTGAAGGTCGAGGCTTGTCTTCATTACCGTATGGGGCATCCTTCACTTTCAAGTGTCTTTGGTGCCTACATTGAGGAGGAGGGAAAAGGAAAGATCGCGTGTGTGTTCCTGACGGAGGAGTGCCTCGTAACCCTTGATGATTCCATCAGGATGGGCTTGTTACAAGACGCTGAACGCAGAAGACAAATAGTCATCACGTTGTTCGAGGGACTGGCACATCTCCACTCGCGCTTTTTGATTCATGGAAGGATCAACCCGATGAACATCGTTGCAGACGCTGAAGGCATTCTCAAGTTCAGGAATTTCAACCTTACCAGGTTCTCAATGCTGGTACCGCAATCTGAAATGTCGGAAGAGGAGAAGAAAATGCTTTGCTGGAGAGCGCCGGAGCAGCTCGAGAACGTCATGGAGACCTCGACGGCTACTGATATATTCTCGATGGGATTGATCTCCGCACTGATCTTTACTTTGCGTGATCCAAAGACTGTGCATGACCTTCAAAAGGATCTGGACAAGCACTGCTTGGACAAGGAAGATACTCCAGTGGTTCTAGCTTGTTTGCGAGACGACCCTGTCTTGCGACCAAGTGCTGAGTGCGTAGTGTGCACGATGGTAACAGGTGTCAAGCTGGATGAGACTGCTGCCAAAGTTGTGCGGAATGCTGAGGATGCCAGAAAGCATCTGCCCAATCACATGCCGGCCCAAGATGATGGAGCGAAAGTCTCAACCATACCTGCGGTTGAAAGTGCAAAGAAAGCGAACGATGTGAAGCAAATGTTGAAGATCATGTCAGAGCAGTTTGGTAATTCGCAGTTTGTTACTGCATGCTGTTATGCTTTTTCGGAGATGGCAAACGAAAATTCAGAAATGGCAAACAAAATCGGTAAGATGGGGGTGTTGGACAAGGTCCTGGCTGCAATTGACAAGCACAAAGAGGATGTCGACTTGCTCGAAAGAGCATTTCAGCTCATGGCCGTGCTCTCGATGTTGAGCCGTGACACAGCGAAAGAGATTATTAACAGCAAAGGATACGAAAAAGCCATTGCTGCGATGAAGAAACTTCCAAAGAATGGAAAGCTGCAGGAGGTATGCGCTGCAATGCTTGGGAACTGCATCGGGCACTTTATACAACAAGTGAACAAGCTGGTGAAGGCCGGTTGTGTTGAGGTGCTGACTGCAGCAATGAAACAGCACTCAGGCGATAAGATGACAGTGCAAATCTGCTTCCAAACTTTGCACCTGATCTGCGAGTCCAGTGTAGAAAATGCAGCGAAGGTGGCTGAACTTGGCGGAATCGAAGCTGTAGTAGCTGGAATGAAGTGCATCAAAGGGCTGACAGATCAGGAGATTTGGGCAGTTTCCATCCTTTCCTACATTTGTGCCGCAAAATTAGAATATGCGGAGAGGATGGGAAAGGCAGGGGCCGGGGAAGCTCTTTTATCTGTGATGGGGTACCACAAGGAACACACACATATTCAGAAGCTTGGGATCGTTTCACTCTCTTACATATGTCAAAGCAGCAAAAATCTTACTGACAGGTTGGGCAAGCGTTCAATAGAAGCAATCCTGGAAGGCATGAAGCGAAACCCGGATACAGACTTCATCCAGGAGCAAGGCGCCAAGGCACTCGCAGCCATTGTTCAACATGGTAAGGAGCATGCGCTCACCATCGGTAAACTTGGAGGCCTGGAACAGATAATTGCCATGATGAGGAAGAACTACCCAGTTACCCAAGTATATGAGTTTGGATGTGTCGCGGTGGCAAATTGTCTTGTGCAGCATCCACCCAACCTGGAGCGGGTGATGCAGGCTGGAGGGATCGAAGTTGTTTTCTCCCTTCTCACAAAGCACAGCGGAGTGCCAGGCGTGCAGGAAGGAGGCTTTCACTTCATGAACATGATCGCCACTCACAGTGAAGCTGCTGCTAAACAGATTCTGAAGGCTGGCGGTGTCGAGCTAATCATCAAAGGAATGAAGAAGACAGAGTCGAATGCTATGGCACAGCGGTCTGGCTGCCATGCTTTGAGCGGCCTTGCAAGCATGAGTGTCGAGCTTGCAACAAGGGTTGGAAAACAAGGAGGCCTCGAAGCTGCTACGGTTGCATTGCAAAAGCACAAGGACCATGCGCTTGTTCAGGAGATGGGGTGCCGCGTTCTGACTTATGTTGCGCAACAGAATCCAGAGTTTGCTGTTAAGATTGCGATGACGACGGCCCTGCAGACGCTTCTGGACAGCATGAGAAAAGACTTGACAAACACTCCCGAGGTTCACGAGCTGGGATGTCAGTGTATCACTTTGATCGCGAAGGCGAATGGGGAGTGCAGGACGAAGCTCGTGGAAACCAAAGCTGTTGATGTTGTCTTGACCAGCATGCGAAAGTTTCCGGAGATCGTCAAAGTTCAGGAGATGGGATTCGCTGCTTTGGGTATTTTCGCAGCCGCACGTGGAGATCTGGCAGAACACATGGCTGATGGAGGAGGAATAGAGCTCTACGCCTCAGTAATGGGTAACTACAAGCAGAGCCCAAGGATCCAGGAGTTGGGATGCCACATCTCCTTTGCCTTGTCGCACAACAGCAAGAAGCTTGTGGAGAGGATGATGAAAGCCAACGGCGTCGAGGCGCTCGTGACGGCTATGCGGCTTTACAGAGGCGACCTGACTATCCAGCGTGAAGGATGCTCTTCTTTGGGTCAACTGGGCATGTTTGGCGACGATGTCGTGAAAAGGATCATCAAGGCCGGTGGCATTGAGGTGATCAACCAGGCCCTGCAGACGCACAGGAACGACACGTCGGTGCAAGAGGCTGGACAGCATGCATTCGCCCTGTTGGGGATGGAGAGCGAGGAGGCCGCGCAGAAGATCAAAGAAGTTGCAGGCATCAAGCTTATGTTGTCGGAAGGCTCAAAAAATGGAGCGACTAAGGTCACTATGCAGTTCGGCGATCGCAACGACATGTCGAGCTTCAAGGCCTTCCACACGGGCATCGGGTCTGCCAGTACGAGCGTGTCTGAAGGCCCCAAGAAAGAAGCGCAGGGATCCAACGGTCCTGCAAAGAAGGAGCATGACGTGGCGTCGGAGCTGACCGATGAGCGCATTGATGAGATCATGAGGGACTTGGAGCCAGAGAAGTTCAAGAAAGAAGGCGGAAAGAAGAAGAACAAGAAGAAGTCCAAGAAGGCGAAAGCCAACAACTCTGAGATCAACGAGCAAGTACGAGATGACACGGAGAATGCTCCGACAGCGGCAGCGAAGAAGGAAGGCAAGGAGAATAGTCCGAATAACGTCGAGAATGCTCGAGCAGCGGGCAAAGAGGCCAACTCGGCAGCCTTGAAGAAGAATGAGCAAAATGTAGCGCAGAAGACGCAGAAGAAGCAGGAACTGAGCGAATCTTGTGTGATCTGCTTCGAGGGAGTCTCGACCCACGCGTACGTTCCTTGTGGTCATCGGGCAGTGTGCGAGGGATGCAGCCTGATGTTTGCAAGCCGCTGCCCGATCTGCAACCAGGCGAGTATCATGTGCACCAAGATCTACACGCCATCGGTATGAGCTCTCTGACATTAAGCAAGACAAACAGATCGTAGACAATGGAATGAAAGACACAAAACTCTCTCTTGATGTGCCGTGTCTGCTGCCTTGGGCTTTCTCCGTCTGTCTGACAACCCTCCTCCCCCAATTCCTTTCCTGCTCTGCTCTGCTCTGCTCTGCTCTGCTCTGCTCTGCTCTGCTCTGCTCTGCTCTGCTCTGCTCTGCTCTGCTCTGCTCTGCTCTGCTCTGCTCTGCTCTGCTCTGCTCTGCTCTGCTCTGCTCTGCTCTGCTCTGCTCTGCTCTGCTCTGCTCTGCTCTGCTCTGCTCTGCTCTGCTCTGCTCTGCTCTGCTCTGCTCTGCTCTTCATGGCTGTCTGTCCTTTCCATTCATCACGTCCACGCATCCATTTCCATCCAACGACCGTCAAGACGCGTTTGTGGCCGTTGTTGTAAGGTTTCCGACGTCAGGGAATTTACGACAGCACTACACTGTCTGTGGTGTAAGAGGAGAGAAGAGACTCAGGTGCATGTCTAATCTTCTTGAAGCATCTTGTAGCTCACAATCACTCTCGCTCACGTTGAGGAGCTTCAACATCTACCTTGAAAAGAGTCGCTCTCGTCATGTGGGACATCAGTGCTGGTAGCAGGTACCGTCGAATCCATGGAAAGACTTGGGGGTGCCGGAGCAACAACAGCTCGGGAGCTTCATGCGTGCTGGACGTTGCGCCGTCCCCGAGGGACGAACTGCATCGAGCTCATCGAGATCGCTAGTACGTCAGGTAGTTACACAGCTGAGCAGCGAGCAGAAGCTACCATGCCTGCCTGTCACTATGAGAAGAAAGTGGAGAAATATGCAGCTCTAAGGGAGAACACGCCCAGGAGAGATCCGGACATGAAAGTCGTACAGGTGAGATCTTCATCGCAGGCATTGAGGGCACAATCATGGTAGTAGAATGATAGGAGGAGGTGGACATCGAGGGACAAAGACAAACTTGTTGATGCGAATAATAAAGGTGCGACAAACACTGTGAGAGTTGGGAAAGGAGTTGGTCATGACGAGAGGAACTTCAGAAGAGCGCTGGCGCACAGGTTTCGAACTTACAGACGATGATAGAGGGAGAAGAACACAACGACAGGGAACGGAGAAGAACAAAACGACAGGGAACGGAGAAGAACAAAACGACAGGGAACGGAGAAGAACAAAACGACAGGGAGCGGAGGCAGTAAGAGGGCAGGATGGATTGGAAGCGTGCGACGAGGGAGTATTAGGAGGAGAAGAGGGACCAACCTCCGAGGGTCAAGGGAGCCATAGCAGCATCGAGCAAGCAGCTTGAGCTCTCGGCCATGCTGTAGATAAGACTCATACCGACCGCATTGGGAGACACACACCCCACAGACCACAGTAGGGGTGGTGTGCAGAGGAAAATTCTTTGCTCTTGTACCCCTACCCCCTAACTTACTATCGTAAAACTGGGATACTACCCCCGAAAACACTGCAAGGACCTTGCCTTTCTCCACCCCCCACCCCATAGTTACCGAGGAGCGGCCACCATGCTGAGGTGATGAAGAGGAGGAGATGAAAATGGCAGAGAATCAGAGAGGGAGGAGATGGCAAGACGAAGATGACCTATGGCTATCATGCCGGAAAGATGCCGCGGGAGAGGGAGCGATAGGGGGCATGTTGGGACGCTGGGTGGGGAGGGGGAAGAGGATACAAGGAAACGAAGGTCCGATTAGGATACAGGAGATAACACGAGGAGACAGCAGATTGGACGAGGATATGATTGTTGAGGAGATGGTAGATGCAATAGTTTATCCTCATGAGATGGATCTCGTGATGTGTGTTAACCTCTGCAATCAGTTTGGGAGGAGCGCAAGGTATCAGAGTATTCCGGGCATGCTGTCAGAACAAGGTAAGCCCCCGCTGCCCCTGCGCCTCGTTGATGTCCATGGCGAAGGTGAGGCACTCGCTCTTGCTTGCAACGGTCGCCGCGATGCTGGCGACAGCTGCTGCAACATCTTTCGCAGATGACAACATGTCTCATGGATCTGCTCTACAGGTCCATTCAAAGTTGCATGTCTGCTGCCCCCCATTGCATTCAACCATCCCTCCTCCTTGCTACAATGGCGGTGAAACTCACACTCTGCCTTCAGGACAGCATTGTTCGCCTGTCGTCCAGGATCGGGAGGATGCAAACACTGCACACCAAGTGAGCCATCCCTCCGCTCGCTCCTTGTGCGCTTCTCCTGACAGCGTCCCAAGGATGTTGGATCAGGCCAACCAAGTTCGAACCCTAGCGTTCATGTCCAATGGCGGCATCACCTCGCTCGAGGGCGCTGGATCGACGAACAGAGTCTCATCTCCCAGCTCCAAGATGTTTCTGTCTGCGCGATCTTTCCTTACCAGGTGGCTCCTGCCGTCCCTCTCCCCCCCTCTCCTCCCACCCAACCCACTCAAGGTGGCACAGGAATCGCATGAGCCTCCGAGGAGGAACCCGATCCTTGCAAGGAGCAGCTGAGGGAGCCAAGTCTGCGCACGGCTTCGACTACGATTACTTTGTTAGTGTGCAAAGGAGAAGAAGAGAAGGAGGAGGCTGACAGCTCCCCAGGTCATCGGTGGAGGAAGCGGGGGGGTGCGATCGTCGAGGATCGCCGCGTCTCATGGGGCGAAGGTAGCGCTAGTAGAGTCGGTGAGTGGGAGAGCACAAGAGGCAGGAGGAGGGCTAACAGCTGGCCGACAGGCGTCGGGAGGAAGCACCGCTGACGGAGGTTACGGAGGACTCGGCGGAACATGCGTGAACGTGGGCTGTGTGCCCAAGAAGCTCATGGTCTACGGGTGAAGCACGTGCGCTGAGATGGTTTGTCGTCTCACTCGCTCTCTTAGCTCGCACTACCCTCATGACCTCGAAGACGCAAAGGCGTACGGATGGGACATGACGGAACCGAAGCTGAACTGGCAGCGGATGATCGAGAACAAGAACAAGGAGATCGCACGGTTGAACGGGATCTACGAGAGGATGTTGAAGAACGCTGGGGTGGAGGTGATTCAGGGCAGAGGCACGCTGGTGGACAAACACACTGTAGATGTAGATGGGAAGAAGTACACGGCTGACAAGATCCTGGTTGCTGTCGGTGGTTGGCCGTCTCTGCCGAAAATCCCGGGGATTGAGCATGCCATCACCTCTAATGAGGCCTTCTTCCTCAAGGAAAGGCCCCAGCGCGTCATCGTTGTCGGAGGTGGATACATCGCTATCGAGTTTGCGGGCATCTTCAACGGGTATGGTTCCCAAGTCACCCAGCTGTACAGGGGCGACTTGTGGCTCCGAGGGTTCGACAAGGACGTGCGGGAGCACCTTGTGAACGAGTATAAGGAGCAGGGCGTCGACGTCCGTTTCAACTCCAACATCGCCAAGATCGAGAAGAGTGGAGACGGCCTCAAGGCGACGCTGGAAGATGGCTCGGTCCTCGATGCTGACGTCATCATGTACGCAACCGGCAGATCGCCAAGGTAAGATGTCTTTTGTGACCCTGTGTTGTATGCTGATGCAACACCTCAGGACGAAGGATCTTGGATGTGAGAAGGTCGGTGTGGAGCTGGACAAGAACGGAGCCATCGTGGTCAACGAAGGCTTCCAGACTTCAGTCGAGAACATCTACGCCGTCGGTGACGTCATCAATCGCATCCAGCTCACCCCCGTGGCTCTGGCTGAGGGCCACTGCCTCGCCGATACTCTGTTCGGTGGAAAGCCGCGCAAGACCGACTACTCCGACGTCCCAACCGCTGTCTTCAGGTAGGAGGAAGAGGCGGAGGCGGAGGAGGAGGAGGAGCGCGGGGATGGACTGGAACAAGGATCAGGAGAAGGGGTCTGACTGTTCCCTGCAGCCAGCCTTCTATCGGGACTGTTGGCCTGACGGAGGAGCAGGCGCGCGAGAAGTACGGAGAGGTGAGAGCATCGAGCTTCTTGGTGCTCAACAAGGAGGAGGCAAGCTGACGGGGCTCGAGCTCAGGTTCACATCTACAAGACCTCGTTCCGAGCCATGAAGCACACGCTGACTGGCCGTCAAGAGAAGACCTTCATGAAGCTCATTGTCCACCCTGAGACTGACAAGGTCCTCGTACCCCCAACCCCCCCCGCTCGCTGACAGACGGCAGGTTCTCGGTGTGCACATGGTCGGGGATGCCGCTGGGGAGATCATACAGCTGGCGGTACTTCCCTTCCTCCCCGCTGATTCAGCTGACGAGCATGCTCAGGGCGTTTGCATGAAGGCTGGAGCAACCAAGGCGGACTTTGACAACACCATCGGTAAGAGCCCGCGCTGCTAACTGGATCCTCATCTCCCTCCCCTCCAGGTGTTCACCCAACGTCTGCGGAGGAGTTTGTCACTCTCAGAACCCGCTTCGGAGCCTAAGATCGACGGACAGGAGCGACAAGGATCTGACTGGCAGCACGATACATCATCAGTGAAGTCCTTCAAAATGTTTCATCCCGATGCGTTCTGCTCTCCCTCTCCTCTCTGCGCTGCAAGCTCATCTCTGCGTTCCTTGAGCATCTTCACTCTCGCCTGTTCTTCGTACATGCTGCACAGACGTCAGGTCCTCATCGAGGCAAGCAGCCAACTCAACCTCCGTCTCAACTCCGCGATCTCCTTGTTCAACTCCTCCTTGGGATCAGCTCGTGCTTCCTTCAGCTTCTCTTCCCCTCGCGGGTTCCCTCTCGCTGTCGCTGGCTTCCTATCGATCACGCATCGTTGCGCGTTGGAAGGAACAAACGCGGACGCCGGTCGCTGCCTCCACCTCCTCGCCTTTGCCAAATCAAGAGACTCAGAGTAACTAGTGTTGGAAGTGTCTGCCGTATGGCTCTGTTTTTTGGCTAGCTCTGCTGTCAGCACTTCCTGTAGAGTTGTGTTCAGGTCCTGTTTCTGCTGGAGCAGAACTGCATGGCAGAGCTCGTTCAACGTCATGGAGGAAGAAAGGATGCTGCTGACCTTGAGATATCATCGTGCAGAAGAGAGGCCTGAGGTCTTTTGACCTGAGATATACCTCGTCCTCTTTCAAAGCCTCGATCTTCTTCGTGAGGCTCATGGGCAAACGTGCGTCACCTGCTCGTGAGCTTTCAGTCCTGTCGGTCTCAGATGAGAGAAAATCGAAAACTTGGACATCTTACAAACTGATGACACGGAACTGACTGATAGCATGAGGTGATAACATGAGCTAATAACACGAACTGATAACACTGATGCACACTTTCAAATACTGAGAGAACTGAGGACGCGATCTGGCTATTGTGTACATGAGAATTTGATATTCACAGTGCAGCGGCAGGAGCCGCAGGAGTTCAGGAGCATGAGCAGTGCAAGAGTACCGTACGGTACTGATCAGAGGAGCAGGAGCAGTCAGCAGGTGCTAACAAGTGCACTGGGTACAGGTGCAGGCGTGACTTGAAGATGAGGGGGAGTAGCCTTGGAGGAACGAGCTCTCTGGGCAGGCTGTACTGGCAGCCGACTTCCGACATGAGAACAGTATGGCAGTAGTCAACGGCTATGAACTGTCTGCGTTGAAGGCCGGGCAGTCTGTGTCCAATGTACCCGTATTTTTGACCGTAAAAGTACGGGTACATGCTCGTCTGACAGTTTTGTTGAGGGTAGGGTGAGAGATGAAAAGTTCATGAAAAGTCTGAAAGTTCTGAAGTTTTGTCTTCCATAAGTTCATGCTTGTACCACCCCTCAGTTCCTGCTACAATTCGACGATGGAAGGGATGGGTGGTGAATAATGGACAAGGGGTCCTGCAGAGATGAGAGGACGGGTGGTCAGATGATGACCCTTTTCCACCTTCCCCGTTGCGACTGTGAGGGGTAGTGGCAACTGATTTCTATCACTAGGGGTGATGTTCACTCTAATAGAAGGGGTGTAATGTGTGGTTGAAGGCGATGCACACCAGGGGTGGGGTAGCATGCGATGAAAGTACCGGTGGGATTTTGAGATGCGTTGAAGATGAGGGGTAGGGGTAGGCTCGGGGGTGGGGCCATGTTGACTGACATCCGATCTCCGCAGACTTGTTCAACAATTTCCTGATTTTGGGATAAATACCCAAATATTGAGTCATTGTATGAAAATCTTTGTTCAAATGCGAATTTACATCAATAAGTTTTGGAATCTTAGGATTGCTTAAACCTCCCGGCGAGTTTTCCAGTCGGGAAATGCGGCATGGGAGGGCATGAGTAGGCTGCGAGGATGTCTGAGGTGAGTCAGAGGGGGAGGGGGGGGGGGGGGGGGGGGGGGGGAAGGGAAGCATACATGGAGGATGATGAAAGGACAGGACAGAACATGGCAGAAGCAGAGGACACGAGGACAGGAGAAGAGAGGAAAGCAGGAGAGGAGAGGAGATCAGCGAACAGAGGAGAAGCGAGGGGAAGGAGCGAGCCGATCGGAGAAGATCGGTAGGGAGAAAGAAGAAGGAGAGAAAATGCGGATTTGCGGAAAGACTGGTAGACCGTACAGTCATGATGACGAGGTAGAAAGATATTAGATGAAGAGGTGTCATTTCATCCCTTACCTATACTGATGTCAGACGTGATGATTGCTTTCTTCCTGATTAATGCACAAACAATGGGATCTGATGTTGGGACAGGTGCATTTACCCAGTTGTTGAAGAGAAGTCGGCCCAGAAAGAGCCGTCCGTGCAGGCATCCTGTGGGTTCGTGGACAAGGAGGGAAACGTAGAGTCGATCCCTGTCTTCACATTCATCGAGAACAAAGACATCTCTCCCATCTTTCCTGCACCTGCCCCGCAGAATCTTGAAGAGCAACCGCCATTGCAGGACCTCCAGCGAGAAGGGACCTGCCGACTCGGGGAGATGCGGAGTTTAGCTCCAGTACCCTCCTCGACTATCTATGACCAGGTAGTCTCCTCCGTGGCGAGTCAAGTCGGCCCTGACGCCCTGTGGCAGTCTCGGTCTCGGTCTCCGACCCAGCGGCCCATCTCCTCTTACCCCGGGATGCTGTCCAACTTCAACAACAGCAAGATTCCTGACGGACGCTCCCTCCCTACCCCCCCGGGGGAACCGCAGCGATGGCCACCGAACCTTGTTATCAATCAGCCTAGAGGTGAGGAGAGGAGAAGAACCGCTGCTGAGCGAGGAGGCGCATCCAGTGGCGCTTGCTAACTTGTCCTTGCCTTGCAAGGTAATCTTGACCTGGACCCGACCAGAGGCGGCAGCCAGCCGTCGAGTCAGCAATCGATGTTTGAAGAGCGAGACGTGAGTCTTTTTCCCGCCTGTTGATCGCGGGACTGCCTCCTGCTTCTGCTCCTCCTCTCCCTCCTCGCCCCCACCCCGGCCCCCTTCATCGTCATCACCATCATCACCATCATCCTCTGTCGGCTGACTCTCCGGTCCCTCAGGAGCAGAGAAACAATGGCTCGTACGCATACAGTCGCTCCAACAGCTCTCCCGTTCCTCAGCGCCCGCGAGCGTACTCAGACTTGGAGTCTTCGGAAGTTGGCGGCGTCGACCCCCAGCTGGCAGCTGGTATGGTGCCAACCTCAGATGGAGAGATGGTGAGCTGGGGTCTGGCTGGGAGTGTGGCTGCTGACGATAGTGCGAAGATCCAAGCGGAGCCGATAGAGAGGCTTGTATGCAAGGAGGTGAAGAGATTGGCAACTTGACATGCCGTGTGACGTGTTGTGATGAAGATCGACCCCGTTCACTTCTGCATGCTCGTCTCCCATCCTACGGTGAAAGGCCTGCGCTTGCGTTAAGCGAACTTAAAGATGCCCTGGCAGTCGGACGAGATGGGATGTTTGATCACTTTGAAAGCCGCATCAGGCAGCTCAGGGCTGGCGCTGGATCACTCAGGTAGAATGGAGAAGGAGGGGGAGAAGGAGGAGGTGACAGACAGGGGAGTGAGGGGGTTTCGTCAGGGTTGGGGTCGTAGATTTACCTGGTGGGTGCAGGACTTCAGTTGGCGTCCAAGAGTGGATCTGAAGCCGCTACAAGTGAGCTTGTGGATGAGCACTGTCTCCTCACTCACCTGGTTCTTCAGTCATGAGCGCAAGGCAGTGTGCTCTGTTCCGTCGAGGTCGACGATGTTGTGCTGTTCCTTGTTATCAGATCTCATCTTTCTCGGCAGGCCTCGCGCTCGAGCTCGAGTTTGTGAACCATCAAATCTACATGAAGAATGTCCAGATCCGCAGATTTCAGGTTTGAAAGGCAGCACTTTCAGCCAAGACGCTGAGATGAGCTGGCAGATTTTGAGGGAGGATTTCTCTGTCCACAACGGCACGTTGAAGCCAGACGGCTCGGTAGGAGGAAGAGGGGGACGGGGGAGGATTTTGGGAGGATGGAGAGGAGAGGGGGAGCTGAAGCATCTTCAGTTGAACCGACCGGTTCTGTTGAGAAGATACCGGCACATTATCAACGACATGTACTCTCATGAAGCAAGGTCTTGAAGAAAGGAGGCGCAACTGACGTTGTTTTGACTCTGCCGTTGGACGCAGGTACCCTCACAAGTGGATGGAGGACGATGACAACTTTGACAACCACTACTACGTTATCCTTGCTTCTGCAGCAGCAGCTCGTCCACTGACTAGCAGCTTCTTGCAGAATTCGAATAGACAGTCTCCTCTTAGCACTCCTTCAAAGAGCAGACAAGTGAACAACCGTTCGACATCACCGTACCTGGATCATCGCTCGCAGGAGTTGTCACAGGTCGCTCGCTGTGGAGATGCTGCAGAGTTGAAGGTGACGGACGTTTGTCAGGTCCAGCAGCAGCTTCAGGAGCTTGACATCCAGGTTAATCGACCTCAACAACTCTACAGCTCGTCACGCTGCTGGACAGGTTGCCCGCCATCTCCAGATGTTAGAGCAGAGCGACTCTCGTCAGGTCACTCCGGCACCTGTCACCTTCCACGAGAAATAACCGTCGTCCCCTAGCAGGCAGCAAATGCTTCCCCCTACAACATCCACGGCGACAACGTGCCGTCCTCTCCTCCTCTCCTCCCTCCTCTCTTACTCTAATCCAGGCCTCTGACGTCATGGGACGGACCCCTGAGCTCGAACAGGCCAGCTTCTCTACCGGCCTTCCTTCTCCTCGGTCGGGTCCTCTCGTCCCCCGGTACCTGAGTGCCCCCCGGCTTGCGCTCCCTGACTCCTCTCAGCGGCTTTCGCTCGCGCTCGCCCTATCGGAGGTCCAAGTCCCCGAGGGAGAGGCTACCAGAGATGCCTGATGGGTGAGTAGATGAGGCGAAGAGGAAAAAAGAGGGTGAGTTGGGGGGGGGGGAGGCGGGGGGCGGGAGCGGGCAGGACAGGAGAAGGAGAGGGTCAGAGGAGGAGCAGGGGCCGGGGCAGGAGCGTCAGAGTGACAAGAGGTGCAGGAATGAGAGCCACGCCACCTCTTCCCGCGGGAGATACTCTCCTCGTTTCTCTGCCAACAACTTCTTCCCCTTTGATAAGGTCAAGGTTTCCCTCCTTGTCGTATGACCGCCTGACACGCTGGCCGTAGACTCCGTCAAGCTCCACAGCAGGCAGTGGCTTCATGGGGCTGCCGCTGGGAGGAGCAAGCTTCTCAGTGCTAGAGATGGTCCCCAGACCTTCTCACCGCCCCCCTGATTTCTGTGTTTGAATTTCAATGTCTCCTCAGTGTTCTGCTTCCTCCCCTCCCCTCCACTCCCCTCCCCTCCCCTCTCCTCCTCTCTCCTCTCCTCCTCTCTCCTCCCCTCCCCTCCTCCACTTCCCCGCCTCTACTTATCCATTCCTCCGTTTTTCGCTCCTCTTCCTGTCTAACTCGGCCAGTAGGGGTGCATGCCTCATCAGATGGACAACCAGAAACCGCCTCTGCCCAAGGCAGCTGCCCCGCGCAAAGCATACCAGCCACAGGTTGTCTTTCTCTGCTCCAGCTCCTGCTCCTGCTCCTGCTCCTGCTCCTGCTCCTGCTCCTGCTCCTGCTCCTGCTCCTGCTCCTGCTCCTGCTCCTGCTCCTGCTCCTACTCTTGCTATCTACTGCTTCTTGTCCTGTACTGCGCTGACTGGAATGTAGCCAAATCGCTCTGTCACTCCTCCCCGCACCAACGTGAAGCCTTCGAATGGAAGACCTTCAGCCAGCGACGAGCACATGTCAGTGATGGGACAAGCAACCCGCTGCCTGCCCTATTTCCTCCTTCCCCCTCTCTGTCTTGCACTGCACTTCCCGCTGTTCCGTTTGTTATGCTCCTTTGCTCCGTTGCGACTATCTTTGGATTATGCATCGCCAATTCTCACTTTCTTCTTCCCTCCAACCGTGGTATCCACCTCTTCTCTGCTTACTCTGTTTCCCAGCTGGTCCTTCTAGGGTCCGTTAGCAGTTTCATGTCAGGTCGTATTAGAGTCCATGCCCATCAAGACCATATTGTGAATAAAACCCAGTCATGTGAAAGGGCTGTGATCGGATTTACTTCTTCATCTTCAAAGCATACTTCAAGCAGTCAGCCTTCCCCTCTACGCAGTCCTGCATGATTTGTTTCAAGCGCTGCTCCTGCTGCGTCAACTTTCTCTGCTACAGTAGTCACATGCAAGCTATCACGGTCTCGAGCCCTCACCTGCTTGGAGACGAACCCAAAGCCTTTGGCAAACGACTTCATGAAGGCCTGCTTCTCTCCGAATGACTCCGGAGTGACCTTCTTCGCTGACTTGCTCTCCTTGTTTCTGAGCAGAGCGTTCAATCTCATCGTCTCCTGCTGGATCTCCCGCTTGTCTTTCATCCAAGCGTTTGCTAGCTGCTTGCTTTTTAGCTTCTTTGCTTTCAGATCCTTCTCGACTTGCAGCAAGGGGCTCTTGGGGACCAAAGCTGACCTTCGCTTAGCAAGACTTTTGCTTTCCATGACAAGCTTGTGCAAAGCCATCTGGTGCTGCTTCAAGGCTAAGTTTGTCTTCAGGATAGCCTTCTCCTGCGAAGTGACTTCTTCTTGCAACTCGGAGCTGGTACCGTTTGTGCAATTAGCATCTGCTCCGCTGGAGCAGTTGGTAGCATTCCCGGCATTGAGAAGAGCCATTGCCTGTTGGAAGAGAGTCTTGGTCTCGTCTGAATTCATGTCTTCCTCCAGCCCTTCCAGTGCTTTCGCTGACTCCGCTTGTTTCGCCTGCTGGCATATCAAGAACAAGGCCTTGTGCGCTTCAACTCCTACCTTTAGGTCCTCGATAGCATTGAATCCCGCGTTCACTTGCTCCATCTCGCTGGTGATATCAGAAACAAGCTGCTTCTTTCTCGCCTCCTTCTCAAGTTGTGCTTGCATGGCAGGAACTCTCTCCTTGACCTGCCGTTGTACCTCTTTCTCCACTTTCTCCTGGAGTTTTTCCCTCAAGTCCGATAGCAGCTCGTTCTCCGACTGGAAACGGAGGATGAGAAGTGATCAGCAAGAAGTAGATACAAGGCATCGCGAGCTCAACGGGCCTTACCTCTCTGTACAAGGAGTCGAGGCTGCCATCGTCAATGGACGCATCCACATGGAGCGGAGAAATATGAATCTTTGGTGGATCGACTTTGACCCATCCTACAGTCCTCCGATCGCCTCCTACCAGCTTTCGGCTACTCTCCTGCTCACTTGTGCTGAGTAGTTGGCTGGTGGCTGCGAGAGGAGACGGAGACGTCAAGACAGCCACCATCCCTCCCACCATCGCCACCATCGCCACGGCGGCTATCGCCGATCCCCATCCGGCTGCCATGACTATTTCCGGAACCCTGAACAGTACCCTCTGATTTGAAATCTAATGTACCGGTAGTCAAATCAGAATGCAATGAGCCCTGGCAAGTTGGTTTTAAAAAATTACTGAGTGACGGCCCGGTACGGGCCCGGTCACCGCCACCGGGTCGGGCCCGCCGGACGCCGGGTCCCGGAGTCCGGCCGGCCGCCTGCGGCAGTGCCAGGCTGGCCGCCGGCCGAACTCCCGGAGCCCCGGGCGCGCCGCAGGGGGCATGACATGATGCCATCAGTGATAGCAGTGTCAGGGTCGGTTGAAGCCGCCTCCTCGGTATACAGAGCCTGTCTCCTGATTATCCGACCTTATAACGGCGTGACTAATTTAAACTTATGTTTGACTCTGTCGCTATAGGAGGTTCAACTTGGGCTATCATTATCGCTCGAATCGTTGGACGTCATCCTATCCGGATTGCGGCGCCGGACTCAGGCTCCGAGGGCACTGCGGCAGGAGGAAAGGCCCGGAGCCTGAGAGGTCAGTGTACAGCTGATGCCTCTCAGTCTTGTTTACTAAGCTCGACTTTAAGCCCCTCCTCTCTCACTGCCCGGCGAGAGGCTCCGCCCTCGACGTCACTCACACCGGATGTTGCGGAACTGCACGTACCTCTTGTGTCCGTCCATGGACTTGAGGGCATGGAAGTCTTGGAGGATCAGCTGAAGCTCGCACACGTGCCCCTCTACCCCTCTCCTCCTCGTCTCGTCACTCACTACTCGTACGTTGATCGCCACGTCCCGGTACCCCCCCGACAGCGTCGAGTCGAAGCCTGGATCGAGCCTGTTCTTGATCCTCACCACCTCCAGCTCCGGGTCGTCCAGCACCGCCTTCACCCCCAGCAGCAGCTCCTCCAGCCCCGCAAACACAATCGTCTGCCGCACCACGTCCGTGAGACGGAAGACCTCAAAGTTGTATGCGCGCACAAGCTTCTCGATGGCTCTAGAGGCGCTCTTGATGGCTGCCCACCTCACCCTGTCTGCCAGCGTGTCGTCCCTCACCGCGTCTCGCCATCGCACGTACTCGGGGGAGCTGTCCTGGCAGAGGCTGTCAAGAGGGAAGTAGCCGTCGGACGCGAAGGCGAGGGCCTGGACCTTGAGGAGGAAGACAGGCTCGATGAGGATCGCCTGAGCGTAGAGCTGGTCGAGGGACCTCACTCGATGCTCGCGCTTGATCGTCCTGGCTCCTGACATGCCGGGTTGTTGATCGTTGGGGTGGAGCTGGAGAAGGAGTCGATCGTAGATGGAAGGGTTGTCGGGGTCGAAGAGGACATCTTGAGTTCCTTTCTGTTTGGCGGGACTTGAAGGGACCTGCTTGCACTTGCTTGCAAGCTCTGTCAGCCGCTCCAGGCTCTCTTGCTGCGAGACCAGCAGTTTCCACTGCTCGTCGTACTTGATCTTGTCTCCTTCGATGGCTTTCAGGGCCTTGCGGAGCAGCATCTTCCTCGAAAACCAGAAGTAGCTCCATGCTACAAGTAGGACGTACGTGCTGAAAGGGATGTAGTCCACGTGGAAGGGTTGGGGGCTTTGGAACCAGTCCATTCCGATGGCAATGTCGCCCAAGGTGGTGACCAAGCAGTAGACCGGGAGAGCGCTGAGCGTGTACCGCTCTTTGAACTGAAGGATCAGCCCGTAGCCGAGGTCTGCGATACCGAAGATGAAGTCGTGAGCACTCTCCGGGTCAAGAAAGTTCACAGGCATGCAGGTCACCAGCTCCAGCACCCCAGCGATATGGAAAGGAGAAGAGACAAAGGTCTTGGCAAGAAACGAGTTGCGGATAAGCGCAAAGAACACAGCCAGAAAGCATACGGCGCTTTGCTCCACATGATTCACGTAGCGCATGATCTTTCTCCATGGCTCCCTCAGCTCGAACCGGATCGTGGTGTCACTCGCCAGCTCCCCAACAGCATTGCAGAGCTTCAGCTCTGGGTGCGCTCTGCAGGAGAAGGAGCTGATCTCTTCCCACGAGGCGTTGCCTGCGTCTGACGTCTCGTCCCATCGCTGGAGCGTCAGCTCGTGGGGGTCAAACTGCGCCAGACTTCGATCAGATGCAATCTCCAGCTGCCAGCCGTTAGCTGGGAACGACTCATTGAAGCTGAAGTAGAGGAAGGAGTCTCGGACCGACACTGACGAGGGGTAGAAGCGAGAGCAGCAGTCTCTGACCAGGGCAAAGGAGCTGTTGTAGACCTCAGGGCGAGCTGCTGCGGAAGCGTTGCGAACGGTCTTGATGCGCAGGCGATAAGCATCAGACTGCATCATTCCGTTCCTGGACACTTGAGCCGCATTCTCTCCGGTGAACACAAAGTACCCAAAGGAGATTCCTACCACAAGCGTCACAAGCTGGAAAAATCGCTTGTGCATGGCGCTAGTGAGCGGCGTGGAGGAGAACATGATGGTCGAGGTCGAGACTCCTAAGACCCCATGGGCCGTCTTTTCCAGCTGGGTGTCCAGCAAGTCTCCGGCATACAAGCTCTTGAATGTCGCCACTGTGATCTCAGGCTTCTCTTCGTTGGCTTTGCATGCCAGCAGGGTGGAGGAGATGTCGTTGAGGATCTGTGAGGTGTCCTCCACTCCCGCCGGATGAAGCCAATCAAGAAACCATCGGTAGTCATACAGCTGCATCGACATCTTCCAGCCATGACGGAACCGAAGAATCTGTTTGACGCTCTGAAATTTGGAAGACATGACTGAGCATGATAATCGATGTAACGACATGACCGCAAGCCTTAGCTCGCACACGTGCCCCTCTACCCCTCTCCTCCTCGTCTCGTCACTCACTACTCGTACGTTGATCGCCACGTCCCGGTACCCCCCCGACAGCGTCGAGTCGAAGCCTGGATCGAGCCTGTTCTTGATCCTCACCACCTCCAGCTCCGGGTCGTCCAGCACCGCCTTCACCCCCAGCAGCAGCTCCTCCAGCCCCGCAAACACAATCGTCTGCCGCACCACATCCGTGAGCTCTGACACCCGCCCGTCACAGAGCAGAAGGACTTTCTCGATGGCTCTAGAGGCGCTCTTGATGGCTGCCCACCTCACCCTGTCTGCCAGCGTCTCGTCCCTCACCGCGTCTCGCCATCGCACGTACTCGAGGGAGCTGTCCTGGCAGCTGTCAAGAGGGAAGTAGCCGTCGGACGCGAAGGCGAGGGCCTGGACCTTGAGGAGGAAGACAGGCTCGATGAGGATCGCCTGAGCGTAGAGCTGGTCGAGGCTGTCAGGTGACGTCTGCACCTTCGTGTTGGTCTTGGGGTTGCAAGCCGGGATGTAATCCAGCTCTGCCTCCTCATCCTGACGACGTTCTGAGCTCACTATGACGATCGGACCAAAAGACCCGAACGCAAACGACCGATAGTCGGGCCCAACTCGAAGAGCCTTCGTCAGAGACCGGAGAGCCCAGCTGCCTCGCATCTTCATCCATTCTTCCTCCCACGCTCCTTCTTGTTCCTGACGCATCTCCCGCAGCACTCGCCGTCTCATACGCTCGCGCGCCAGCAGAAAGCTGAGGGCAACGGTTGCCATCAGCATGTACAAGTATGGCAGCTGTCCGTCCGCAAACTCCACACTCAGGTGGACTATGCTGTCCAGCAGCACTAGCTCCACCACCCAGCTCTCGTTCACTGCCAGCGGCATAGGAAACAAAAGCACGTCCTGCAGGGTGACCTCAGCGTCGCTCCCAGCACTCGCACACAACTTACCGTCATCACGTTCACTAAAAAGAACCAGCTCGGCGTCCTCAGCCCACTCCTGGCAGAGCCTTGTAACGTCAGCTTGACGAAGATGATGAAATTGGTCGTGATGCCGACAAAGCCGGTGACGAGCATCAACTGCGATCCTCTCAGTCTCTTGGTGACTGTCAATTAACCCATGTACTTACCAGCTTAGCTAACTCGATGCGACTCGTATGCGCAAGGATGCTGATCAGAAGCCCGGAGACACCCAGGAGGAAGGATATGAACATTTCGAGGACAAGCTCCCACGAGCAGGCAAGCTCTCGGTCCCGTCCAAAAGCTGCCGTCGAGAACTCTCGCACCCTCGCTTCCTCGTTCACCAGCGAGAAATACCCTGCAGATTGGATTGACTGCAGCTTCAGAGTGATGAAGACCAACCATGTTGCACTCAACAGCGCCAGGGCTAACTGTGCTCGAGGCCAGGCCAGCACGGCAGACAGAGGCTCAGGCGAGAAGAAGATGGCGCTGGGCTTGTACTTGTAGACTATCCTCTCCCGGATGCAGCTTTGGAGGAAGTCGCCCTTCGAGTGCGTGTAGAAGTAGCAGAACTCCAGAGGTTTGTTGTGACTCCCTCGGGCTTCAGCCTCTCGCTCACTTGCCACGCTGACGCACGTCAGCTCCATGGCTTCCTCGCCCTCGCACGCCATCGCGCGGCTCATCCGCTTTACGACGAATGTTTACTTCAATACTCTGCTACTGTCAACTTCATATAATCCCTTTTATACCGATTGATCGTGGCCGCTCCCCCTGCGAATGGTTTCGGAGGCACCGATGACCAATTACGCCCGGCAAGTTCTAATAATAATTACGCTGGTGTATGAGCCGTTGAACCTTTTACTCAAAGTTGAGTTAAAAATCAGTAACTATAAAAGCCCCTACTCTACGGGGCAATGGGTGAGCCAAGATATCGTGCCGTGGTAAGAACCCGGATAAGTTCTTGCAGTCGGTGAGAAGTTCTGGTTAATTGTTTCTTTTTAATGTGTCGGACTCGGGAGGCTCTTCAGTGGACGCCGAAGCTGAAGCTCACTGCCGCGAGCATGATAGAATTGATTATGTTGAGACTTAGGAAATCGGCGAGCCTGGAGGTCGGAGCCAGGGCCCCCGAAGCCTGGGGGGCTTTGGGGAACCGGCTAATGGCACGGCCCGGCTGTCTGCGATTCAGGCATCGCAGTTCATAAGTTAGTAAAATTCCAAGCCCCCGTCCGTTGTTATGGCGCAGCCTGTCACGGAAGTTTACGATGATCATCGGATTTTACTACAGTGGCCACGTTTATTACTTTCTTTTTAACTTCTTTACTCAATCTCACTACTGAGTCCGAGCCACGGTAAAAAAGGTTTGGCCAGTGCCACAGTAAACTGATTTTTAACTTAACTTTGAGTAAAGGATTGTCCTCCTTTTAACTTTGAGTCACTGAAAGATGCCGAGTACTATCAGGAAGCTCGGCCTGCAGCCCGCCGGCGGCCCGGCCCGGCCCGGGCGGCCACTGAGGCACTGTGTCCGGTCATGTCCTGCACCGCAGTCACAACGGCCCCCGTTCCGATGGGGCCCAGACACGACATGCATCCTCAGTGTAGCTCTCCGGGCCTTCAGGCTCCTCTAGACCCTGACATCTTGGACTGCCGCGTGCTGCTTACTAGTAAAGAAGTATCTGTGCTCGATCTCTCTCGTAAAGTAAGGATGAAGAAGATAGACAAGTATGTGGTGGTTGTGCGTACGCCGGTAGTTTACTTCTCAGGCTCACTCTGAACAAGCTGCTCAAAAATTCATCCGAAACCGTGCTTCGATCCCAAAGCCTTCCTCAAGTCCTTATCAGCGACAACGCTGCCATCTTTTCGTCCAGATTCTGGAACGCGCTGCAATCCGATTTTCCAACATCTCATCGACGGTAGGAGTTGCGGCGGTCTGCTGATTCAAAACGGCTTGGTTCAAGCGGCGAAGGTCGCAGCAGTATCGAGCATGTACGCGATGGTAGCCTGGAGTTCTCCTTCAAGATGAAGGGGGATGCGGCTTGAGCTGACTTGGGACGGTCGAGGCTGAAGTCCTTGCTCGGAGAGGGCTCCTTTGATGAATTTCCGGAGTGGCTGATCATTGAAATACAAGATAGCTGACCCGACTTCAAGTTGCGACTCGAGCCGCACGGTAGCGAAGAGCGTTGTGGCGCGAGTCAAGTACGCCCAGGCGGATTCGTTGGGCTGCTGCTTGAGCTGATCAAGCTGAGTCTCGGATATTTTTTGGCTTTCCGCATCGAGGCTAGACATGAACTAAGATAAGTTGAAAATTCATCCCGTTTGAGCCTGTTGATTGCTTCGAGGCTCTTGCCGTACTTGCGTTCTACCACCACCATTACTTCGTTGGTGAACAGCGGCGTGATGCTTTTGACCCATTTGCGAGTTGCAATCGCTTGCCATCAGCGATCAATTCGCGGTTCAACACTTCTTCAACAGAGCGGAATGCGACTGGAATTGAAACTCTTGGACTCCCCGTTCGTCAGCAAATTCACGAGAGTCCGATTGGAGAGGACTGGTTCCTGATCAGAGGATTCAGCGCTAGCTGATTCCTCAGCTGAATAGATATCAGCATTCGCATCTAGCAGGGTGACTTTCCGTGCGAGAGGCGGGAGCTCCGGTGTTGCAGCAGCATCTGCTGTCTCAAACTCGTCGAGCACTGATGTGGAAATGCTCGTCCTGCGTGGTGTCAGCCAGGAGGGCATACATTCGACGAAGAAGGAGAAGAGCTCGGTCCTGCGCCACTGGCGAGTGACATGACGAGGTCGGATGAAAACTTTTCCGAGCTTGGCAGACGTACCGATGTTGCAGGGGAGGCGGTTGCTCTCTGAGTTGCCTCCTCTGATCGCAGAATACTTCGCAGGGGACATCTCCATCTCTATAAGTTTGAGTCAAAGATCCACTAGTCTGACTCGGAGAAAGCTGCTGCTGCTGCTGCCGCTCGCTCCATTCGACTCAGAGTCTTCCTCAGAACTCTCTTCAGCAATTTCAGTTTGAAATGCTCCTGATTGCTTAGATCGAGGCTGAGTGCCTTGTTTCGAGGTCATGAATCAACCACTTCGCTTCCAGAATGTTGCATACACAACACAGAGATTGTTAACGACACGAGTAAAGAAAGGATGAAGAAGATAGAGAAGCAGAAGATAGAAGTCTCTAAGTTTACTGCCAGGAGGTAAACTACTTCACGCACAAGGGATCGGCGATCTGAGATAGCCGCCGTGGCGATGGTGGCGATGGTGGGAAATATCCGACGAGTATCCGTGGTTCCGGATCCTCATCGATACAACAATGCTCGTATATCATGCGGGTCAGTGTCCCAGCAAGGCTGAGGCTCAGAGGAGGAGGACACCATGAATTCACCATCTCCTCTGACGAGCAGCACTTTGCATCAGCAGTTCGATACGCCAACCAACGCTCAGGGAATGCTGCGGGGGATGAGGCGCAGGTGATTCGGATAGCTCCGGACGCGGTAGGATGACGTCCGACTGAGTACGGATTGCGGCGACTCAGGCTCCGAGGGCAGGCCTCGGAAAGGAGAGGTAAGTGTACAGCTGATGCCTCTCAGTCTTGTTTACTAAGCTCGACTTTAAGCCCCTCCTCTCTCACTGCCCGGCGAGAGGCTCCGCCCTCGACGTCACTCACACCGGATGTTGCGGAACTGCACGTACCTCTTGTGTCCGTCCATGGACTTGAGGGCATGGAAGTCTTGGAGGATCAGCTGAAGCTCGCACACGTGTCCCTCTACCCCTCTCCTCCTCGTCTCGTCACTCACTACTCGTACGTTGATCGCCACGTCCCGGTACCCCCCCGACAGCGTCGAGTCGAAGCCTGGATCGAGCCTGTTCTTGATCCTCACCACCTCCAGCTCCGGGTCGTCCAGCACCGCCTTCACCCCCAGCAGCAGCTCCTCCAGCCCCGCAAACACAATCGTCTGCCGCACCACATCCGTGAGCTCTGACAAAGTTGTATGCGCGCACAAGCTTCTCGATGGCTCTAGAGGCGCTCTTGATGGCTGCCCACCTCACCCTGTCTGCTAGCGTGTCGTCCCTCACCGCGTCTCGCCATCGCACGTACTCGGGGGAGCTGTCCTGGCAGCTGTCAAGAGGGAAGTAGCCGTCGGACGCGAAGGCGAGGGCCTGGACCTTGAGGAGGAAGACAGGCTCGATGAGGATCGCCTGAGCGTAGAGCTGGTCGAGGCTGTCAGGTGACGTCTGCACCTTCGTGTTGGTCTTGGGGTTGCAAGCCGGGATGTAATCCAGCTCTGCCTCCTCATCCTGACGACGTTCTGAGCTCACTATGACGATCGGACCAAAAGACCCGAACGCAAACGACCGATAGTCGGGCCCAACTCGAAGAGCCTTCGTCAGAGACCGGAGAGCCCAGCTGCCTCGCATCTTCATCCATTCTTCCTCCCACGCTCCTTCTTGTTCCTGACGCATCTCCCGCAGCACTCGCCATCTCATACGCTCGCGCGCCAGCAGAAAGCTGAGGGCAACGGTTGCCATCAGCATGTACAAGTATGGCAGCTGTCCGTCCGCAAACTCCACACTCAGGTGGACTATGCTGTCCAGCAGCACTAGCTCCACCACCCAGCTCTCGTTCACTGCCAGCGGCATAGGAAACAAAAGCACGTCCTGCAGGGTGACCTCAGCGTCGCTCCCAGCACTCGCACACAACTTACCGTCATCACGTTCACTAAAAAGAACCAGCTCGGCGTCCTCAGCCCACTCCTGGCAGAGCCTTGTAACGTCAGCTTGACGAAGATGATGAAATTGGTCGTGATGCCGACAAAGCCGGTGACGAGCATCAACTGCGATCCTCTCAGTCTCTTGGTGACTGTCAATTAACCCATGTACTTACCAGCTTAGCTAACTCGATGCGACTCGTATGCGCAAGGATGCTGATCAGAAGCCCGGAGACACCCAGGAGGAAGGATATGAACATTTCGAGGACAAGCTCCCACGAGCAGGCAAGCTCTCGGTCCCGTCCAAAAGCTGCCGTCGAGAACTCTCGCACCCTCGCTTCCTCGTTCACCAGCGAGAAATACCCTGCAGATTGGATTGACTGCAGCTTCAGTGTGATGAAGACCAACCATGTTGCACTCAACAGCGCCAGGGCTAACTGTGCTCGAGGCCAGGCCAGCACGGCAGACAGAGGCTCAGGCGAGAAGAAGATGGCGCTGGGCTTGTACTTGTAGACTATCCTCTCCCGGATGCAGCTTTGGAGGAAGTCGCCCTTCGAGTGCGTGTAGAAGTAGCAGAACTCCAGAGGTTTGTTGTGAGTCCCTCGGGCTTCAGATTCTCGCTCACTTGACTCGCTGACGCACGTCAGCTCCATGGCTTCCTCGCCCTCGCACGCCATCGCGCGGCTCATCGCTTTACGACGAATGTTTACTTCGACACTCTACTGTAAACTTCATATAACCCCTTTTTATACCCTCAAGATCTGAACATGATACTCTTCGGGATGGGTCAGCCAAGGAGATTGATCGTGGCTGCTCCCCGAATAGTTTCGGAGGCACATGATGACTAATAATTACGCCCGGATAAGTTCTAAGTTCTAATAATTACGCTGGTGTAAGAACCCTACTCTTCGGGGTGGGTGAGCCAAGAAGGTACTATCGTGGCTGCTCCCCTGTAAGAACCCGGATAAGTTCTTGCAGTCGGTGAGAAGTTCTGGGTAATAATTGTTTCTTTTTAATGTGTCGGAGGCTCATCAGTGGCGAGCGCGGTGTGTGCTTTTAAGTTGTGAGTCAGAGTCCGTGACAAGCCCCCGTCCGTTGTTCGAGTCCCCCCAAGCGGTGACAGTGACCAGCGCAGCCTGTGAGAGTCACGGAAGTTTACGATGATTTTACTACAGTGTGACTTCTTTACTCAAAGTTAGACGGTTAAAAATCTTTACTCAAAGTTAAGTTAAAGATCAGTACGAGGACAACTTCAGTAGGAGACTCTCAGTCGAGGAGGCTTCAGTAACCCTGACACTGTCCGATCGCACTGCCGGGCCAAACGGCGAGAAGAGAAAAGACAGCGAGAACCAAACCTAATCCTGCCAACTGCTGTCCCCCAAACTTAACTGATACCTTCACTTAACAGCGCGCAGGACTCCATTCCCCAGTACGGTCACTGCGAGGACTCGGAGTAAAGGAAGCTGGTGACTACGGCCCGGGCCCCGGCCGGGCCGGGTGTCCCGGTCCGGTCATGTCCTGCGCAAGTTCCGATGGGGCCAGGACCCGACATGCATCCTTGTAGCTCCCGCTCCCCTTCTCCTCTGGACCCTGACATGTTGGACTGCTGCTTGTCTATGCTCGATCTCTCTCTCGGTCGGACCTCCATGAGCAAGGCTGTACCCAGACAATGAAGGCGATCGGACTCTTCATCCTCCTCCTTTGCTGCCTTACGACTGAGAAGCATGCTCCTATGTCATCGCTCAGTGTCCCAGCAAGGCTGAGGCTCAGAGGAGGAGGACACCATGAATTCACCATCTCCTCTGACGAGCAGCACTTTGCATCAGCAGTTCGATACGCCAACCAACGCTCAGGGAATGCTGCGGGGGATGAGGAGCAGGTGATTCGGATAGCTCCGGACGCGGTGGAGGAGAACCTGATGTGGTAGAGCAATCCCTTTCGTCCTCTCCTCTTGTTGTCATGCTTGACATTCATGCAGGTCGGCAGATCAGGTTGTGTCGCTGAAAGCACAGTTCAAGATTATCGGAGCAGAGGAGTGCCCCCTCTCAGGACCTCTCTGCCTCGAGGAAGGAAGTAGAGGATCCTGGTACCACTATCAGCACCATGCCTGATGTTTACATGCTGCTCAGGCACGCTCTTCAATGGAAGACTGTTATCAGCACCTTCATCTGTCAAGAAGCAGGCAAGGAGGGGCCGGCCCTGACCTCAATGTGGTGAATGACAACGAGCAGGAGTCAAGATTCTTGGGGGACCCTGGAAGTTGAGCAATTGTATCCTGCATAGCAATGAGTTTGTTGTGCTCAGGTTGTCGTTTGTATGTGAGCCTGGATTTCTGTTTTGAGAAGTTTCCAGATGCGATGAGAGTTCGTTGGTTGAGATCTCGAACTGGTTTGCGTTCCATCGTCTTTTATTGAGAGTGATGTTGCAATTTAGTTTGATCGGGGGCTTTGGAAAGCAGTGCGATGATTCCAACTTGAGAATAGGTCAACCATGATGAGTCCTGACTTCTGGATGAACTGAGATGGTTGTTTCCTGCCAGACATGGCAACGGATGGAGTCGTTGCCATGGGCTCCTCCGACGTTACCTTGAAAGACTGCACCATCCAAGTGAGCATGGCGTGTGCTACGAGCTGCTCGCTCAGACGTGCACAGGACTGCGGGCTGTTCTCTTCGGCAGGGCTGAGGATCGGTGGACGGGCTAAGGCATACGTGAGCAACTGCTTCCTCTTCGAGGTACGACTGCCATGGCTCCTTTTCCGTGCTCAGGGTCGTGCTAGAACGAATTCGTCGCAGTCTGCATGCATGATGCATGTACGCTGACGGTGAAGGACAGCGCTCTGCTAAGAAACCCAGCAGTGTTTGCGTCTGGTAACGAATTGCAAGCCCTGCCTGCTCGTTGCTGACTGAGGTCATGAAGCCATGGCGCAAGAGTCTCACTTCATAGCTTCTAACATTTCATACGATGGGACATTGGTAGGAAGAGGGAGAGTTGAGGAGGGGAGGGGAGGGGAGGGGAGGGGAGGGACATATGGAGGGAGGGAGGGAGTAGTTTGCCAGTGCTGATCAGATATGCAGTGGTTGGACAAGAGCAGACCTGGCAGGTTTGAAGTCAATGGAGAAGAGAGTGCGACACATTGGAGATATGACGCTGAGTTGTGCTGATATCTTCGCAGAGTATCTTGACCTCAAAAATTTCCTCGACGAGATCAAGGACTTTCCCCACCTGGAGGTAAAAGTATCGAATTCTTGTTTCTGGTGGCTGGTTTGTTGAGGAGGAAAATTGGGAAGTAGGGAAGAGATGGGAAACAAGATGTATTTGTGTTGGAGAAACATGTGCAAGCTGTTCTGCAGAAGCAGTGAAGGATACTGAGAGACAGGGAATGGAGGTTGAAGTTTGCTTGTCTGAATGATCCTTGCCTGCAGGACGCCTGGTCTGAGATCGACAAGATGGAGAGTGAGATTTACCGCACCTGGATGACGCTTGCAGACTCTTGCGCGGGCAACGGAACTACGGTGCCGGAGGAGAGGAGCGTGGGGTGTGAGAGGATCATATCGATGGAGGATTGGAGGAAACAGAAGTGGAGAGGCCAAGGAGGAGGAAGAGAGGAGAAGCAGTCGAGGCCGGATGGATAAGAGGAAATCAGAAGCTGGGAAGTTTGGAGAAAGTAGGAGGAGGAGGAAGAGGAGGAGGAGGGTTGAGGGGCGGGGAGGAGGAGGTGATGATGGTGATGATGGAGGAGAGGAGGAGGGAGGAGAAAGGATCGGGAGGGGAGGGATTGAAGAGAAGAAGTGAATCACAATGTCAAACAGACCATCGAAGCGATGAAGATGTTTCTCGACAAGGTTGGAGCGACAGTTCACTCAGCTCCGACAGGGAGACAACGGCTCAAGTTATCACAGTGAGGAGACGAGACGTCAGTGACAAAGTTGCCCCTTGACATGCCCTCTTGGAAGGAAATTCCACGACATGCACATCCCCGATGACTTCAACAGCCTGCCGGCTGTTGACAAGGCTGCTCTCTTATACCCCAACTCCTCCGGTGATCTCACTACGACGTGGCTGCTGGTCGAATGCTGGAGGCCCTGATGTTGCCCGCAGAGATGTTCTATGAGAACCTGCCCGAGGTCCTTGTTGCCAGCTTCGAGCAGGATGAGGCGTCTTCCAAGAGCTCGCTCGTCGTGTACGCTCATATCCGTGAGGACGAGCTGTAAGAAGGTGCTGCTCTGACTCTTGCTGTCAGAGCCTCTCTTTCTCTCGGGGATGGCAGACACTGAGATCATCGCTGACGGCGACGCTTCCCTGATAGAGAACTCGGACGTGAACTTGTCGAAGCTCAGGTGAGCTGGCGCGAGGGGCGAGGAAGGGAGAGGTGTTTGGTTGAAGGGCATGCGATGTCTGCGTGTTGAAGGTGCTCTTATCATCTCCATGCAGGTATGGCGGAGATGTCGCCAAGATGCTGGTGTGGATTGTCGCGATTGCAGCGATAAGAAGTTGAAGGAGGAGAGAGGGGAGGGGAACTGTGACTTGCCTGCAGAACTCCAGCTGCCGCTCCCCTTCAAAGTTGAGATCATCATCGACTGTCTGGAGGAGGCGCATACGACGTTACTAGAGAAAGGTACGTCAGCTAGTGAGGTCCATGTGAGGCAAGGAATGATTTCTCCTCGAGCCCTTCAGCGCCTCGTCAAGTCGCGCCATCTATCCTCGAAGAACGCTGGTGTCGTGATCATGGATGGAGTAAGACTGCGTTCTCCTCCCCGTTCTTCCCTTTGCTACCCCTCCTTCTTCTCTTTTCCACCCCTCTTCTCCTGCTCTCACCTGCAAGTCTGCTTTCATGTTCTCTTCCTTTGACTGCGACTTTCAGAGCTTCTTGCAGTCATACAAGGTTTTCTCCTCTCCTCTCCTCTTCTCTCCTCTCCTCTCCTCTCCTCTCCTCTCCTCTCCTCTCCTCTCCTCTCCTCTCCTCTCCTCTCCCTCCCTCCCTCCTCATTCTTTTCCAGCCTGCCATCATCCATGGCTATCGCGGACTTTCCACATTCTTTGCAAAAGCGCAGGTTCGCAATGTTCATCACCTCTTCCATCCACTGCTTGCCGCCCCCCCACCCCTCCCTCTCCCATTCCCCGCACTTCTCCTCTCCCTCCTCTCAGTTCTGCTGCGGTTGACTCCTTTACTCGCTTGCGCCAGGCTCAGTTCGCTGACCTCCACTCCGGCTACTTCGGCGGAGTCTTGATGGAGCCGCTCGCGGCCCTCGTGCACGCGCTCAGGTAGCTGCGTGTTAAGACTATGTGTATGTGTGTTTGTCTGTCTTCCTGTCTGTCTGTTTCGATGCTTCCCTCTGATCCACTTGTTCTGCAGCTCACTGGTCCACCCCAATGGATCCATCGCAGGTGCTCTTGGGAGGGGAGGATGCCGCGAGGAAGGAAGAGGAGGAGAAGGAAAGGAGAGAGGAGAGGAAGGAGGAGGGGACGAGGAGGAATCTGACGATCCCGCAAAGTTCCTGAGCTGCAAGACTGGCAATTGGATCCGAAGCACCAGAAGATAATCCAGGAGCTGGACTTCTTTCAAGAGGTCTTCCCTCGTCCCCCACCCCGTCCTCAGTCCGTCTTCCTGTCTGTCTCTGATCCCCCTCTTCCAGGATCAGGAGCTGCCAGAGTCCTGGAGAGATGTAGAGCCCCAGCTCGACAGCAGCGTCTTCGAGAAGAAGGACATGCTGGCTCGCGCGTGGTTCCAGCCCTCCCTGTCCTTCCACAGCATCTCCACCGGCTGCGACAACGAGGCGATGCGAACTGTGAGGAAGGAGGGGAGTGGGGAGGGCAAAGAGGACAAGGGATGGGAGGAGGGGGGAGGAGAGGATAGAGGTGAAGGAGGATGGAGTGGAGGAGGGGGGAGAAAGGGACGGATGGAGGGGAAACGGGGAGTTTGAGGGCTCGACATCGCTGAGTAGCCGACCTCAGGTGATTCCCAGCAAGCCCTTGGCGAGGTTGAGCGTCAGGTACCCAATTGGAGTGGATCACGAGCTGGTGCCTGGCTCAACAGAATTGCTGGAGCTGAGCTGGGGTGCAGGTTAGCAAGGCAGTGACGCAGCAATTCTTCCGCGGAGCCAACATCATGAACACAGCTTGTGAAGTGCGACATTCTCTGATCCTGCTGCCCTCCTCTCAGCCGTTGCTCCCTGCTCTCGCTTCCTCTTCCTCTGCGCTGTTGATCTCTGAAGCTGCGGCAGATCAAGCTCAATGCTCAGACCCATTGGCCTGCCTGGGAAGTAGATCGTGAGACGCCCTTGTACCAGGCAAGCGTCGACTCTTCCTCCTCACTCTGCCTTTCTCATCCTCCTCCTCTCCTCAGGCTCTCTCCGATTCCATGCGGCTAGCCTACCGCAAGGAGCCTCAGGTCATCTATGAAGGGTGCTCCAGCGCTCTCCCTTCCATCCTCACCAAAGTCCTCCCTGCCTCTCAGGTGCTGCGCCGGCTTCATGCTTCCCCTGATCTCACCGCAGCTCGTCGTCATGCCTCTCACCCATCGGACCCAGGAGGGGCAGGACATGGACGAGGAAGCACGGCAAACTTTCCGTTACCTCCAGTACGGCACCAAGGCTGCTGTCGCGTTTCTCCTCAACCTGGAGAGGAAGCAGGGAGAGAGAAAGAGGCCCTGATCAACGAGCTGTTGCCAACTTTGAGTGAGCACGGGGAGGAGGGCGGGGCACGCGGCTCCTCTCGTGCCTCTCTGTGCTCGGAGTCCCAGCAGCAGCGCCTGCTGCTGTCCTGCGCCCCTCCAGCAAGGACAGGTTGAGCGGTGGGCAGCTGTTCTCCCTTGCTGTCGAGACCTGCAGCTCCGCATGCGGCTTCAAGGATATTCCTCCTCCTCCTCCTCCTCCTCCTCCAAACAGAAGTTCTCTTGAGAGGTCGGGAATGCTCGGCAAGCTGGGGAGAACCCCTTCCTCTTTCACAGTTTGCCGCGTCTCTGTGCCGATCAACTTCTCGTATTCCGAGCTGAAATCCTGCTGGGCTGTTCAAGACAGTGGGTGGCTCTCAAGTCTCACCTGGAAGTCCATCTGCTTCTTCCCGTACCCTCGCTTCTTGAGAGCCCAGGTCTGAAGAGCGAGAGAGTGAGTGACGGAGGAAGGCTGGAAAGGAGGCAGGGAGTGAGGAGGGAGGAGAGAAAACGGAACGCAAGGAGGGAGGAAGGAGCCAAATGGATGGCGGGCTCAAAGTAAGGAACTGAAGCAGGTAGGAGGAAGGGGAGGAGAGGACGGGAGAAAGAGACGAGCCTGCTGTGCACAGGATTTCTTGTACTGGTTGACCGAGAGCTGGAGGAGCTCGTGCTCGAGTCGTTGTGCGACCTGCGGAGGTCAGTTCAGTGCGAGGAGAGGCTAGGAGGAGGAGGGAGAGGAGAATAAATCTAGACCTGCTCTGAGAATGCCTTGGCGTTCCTCTCTGCCAGCAGTGTTTCAACGTGCTTCTCCTGCAGCTGCAAAGGAGGTGAGGGAGCGTCGGGGCAACGGCAGAGCAACCTGCTGCATGGCCTTGGCATGCCTTCGCTCGTCCTCCGCAACCTGCTTCTCCAACGACAAGAGCCGAAGCTGCGTTGGGGGAGGGAGAGGAGCGCAGGTTCAGCGAGCACGAAGAAGGGAGGGCAGAGGTACCTTGAGCTGTTTCCTCTCCTCCTCCAGCTTCCAGATGATGTCTTCCGGGCTGCCATTGTCGATGTTGTCAAGCACGTTCTCCTGCGTCATCGTCATCCACAGCCGAGGAGAGTCACGGAGCGTCCTGCCTTGTGCGAGATGGACGCCTTCAATCCCTTGAGCTCCTCCTGGCAGACCCTCGTCTCCTCCTGTGCCGCGAGACGGGCAGAGACCTCATCCTGGAGCTGCGACCTTCCTTCACGCGTCTCTCCGTCGTGAAGCAGCAAGAGGCTCACCTGGTGCTGAACCAGCTCGGCGTCTGCCCTCCACCTGCTCTTGACCTCCACCAGCGACTGCTGGCAGCCCGAGAGAGACGCCTCGAGCTCCTTGACCTTCTCCTCCTTCCTCCTCATCCTCTGCATCGCCTCACTCAGCTTCGCTTCTGCTGCACTCAAGGCTGCTCTACTCGAGGCCAGCTCCTCCTCCAATCGCTTCCGCTCCTCTTCCAAACCCTTTCTCGCTATCTCAGACGAGCCCAGCGCCTGGCACCATGTCTCGATCATGGATGCCGCCATGTCGACGAGCTCACTGCAAGCTACAGCTTGAGATTGAAGAGATTCACATGTCTTGGTCATCTCCTCCTCATCTTCAGCTTTTTGCGATGCAAGTCTCGTTTCATATTCCTTCACAATCTGCTCAGTTCTCTCTTTGAACAGTTTGCTGCTGTTTGCTTTCTCCTTAGCTGCCTTCCTTTCTGCTACTTCCATACCAGCAGAGAAAGATTCTTCCACGACTTTCTGCATGTGGAAATCCATCTCTTTCTGAATCCTGAGCAAGCAAATTTTATGTCAAAAGAAGCCTGCAAGACAGGAGAATGGAAGAGAGAAGCAGATCTGCAAGTGCGAACAAAGAAGTGCATCATACGAGAGAACATACATGGCTGCATGAATCAGATGCGAATGCAAACAATCATACAGTCATCGCTCACCCTGTAAACTTGTCCTCTTCGTCCGATTTCCCACAAAGTGTCAGGAACACTGAGGAAACGGCACTGCTCGCCATTTCCTTCGCCTTCCGAAGAGCAAGCTTGTCGATCTCACTAGTAGGCATGGAGGAAACTATGTCCTCTCCTCTCCGCTCCGCTCCTGCCCTCCTCCGATCCTCCTCCCCCTCCCCTCCTCCCGGTTGCTCCACCGGCATGTCCGTTAGGGCAATATTCGGTTTTACCCCGACAGTTACAATGCAGCACCGAGCCACACAGCTAAAGTTTTATAGGTTGGCAAAAACATGAAACGGACTCAAAAACATTATAGATAGAAATCTTTGTAGGAGGGGTTCGTGTAAAATTGATATAGTTGGTCCATGTCACGGAATAAAAATAAAATATATATTGTTTGTATTTAGATATCGATCACCCCTATGAACGATTGCAGTACAAGTAATAAATATTATAAGGGTCCATAGTACTAACTATTTTGTAATTGAGGTCTGGGGGATTCTCTAAAACGTTTTAAAAGATCCCCTCGGGATATGCCGGAGGCCAATGGGGATCAGGGAATAGGGCGGGAGGAGAGGCGGCATGGTGCCTGGCTGCGAGACGAGGAGCAGGAGCAGTAGAGATCGAGTGATAAGGAGAGATGGGGGAGGAAGAAGAAGAATCCTATGCGGAAGGAAGTAGGCACGGCTTGTTGGCAGGAGGTTTCAGGTAGAACGTTTTAAGGCGTGCGAAGCAAGTGGGTTGATTCCAACTAGATCGCTGTGGACGAGAATGCCAGAATGCACAGGAGCATGTCAGAAACAGAGAATGCTGATATCAGGGTCCTCCTCTATGGTCTTTGACCGTGCCATATTGCATGATTCAAGCACGTGCCGATAGGGGGGACATGGCGTAAGGTCAAACATGACACGTATTTTTTTTCTCAGTTTGTTCTTCATTTGCGTGTGAAAGAAAGTCTCCAGCAAGATGGCAACGTGTTCAGATTGTTGCCATGCTTCCAGGATCTCATCTCTCTTCCTCTTTGTTCTCCTCTGCAACGTTACCCTGGCCTATTCCTTCACATCCCCATCAGCGTTGCCAGGTAGCTCGTGTCCCGGAGACAGGCAGCGTTATGACCTCTTCTCCCTCCTTCAGTCTCTCTGATAGCTTCGTCGGTCAGACACTCTTGCATGATTGGAAGGTGAAGTCCATCAGTTGAATTCTTGTTTTGATTTCTTCGTGCTGTGTGTGAAAGCTCGTGCTAGGAACAAGGAGAATTGGCGAATCTCATCGCTCAGGATGAAGACCATCTCACTGGCAGAGGCCGAGAATGGAAACGGAAAGAGGACTATCCTTGTTGCTGGAGCAACAGGAAGAGTGGGACGGTATGTCTGCGAGCAGGTACTGTCAAAGAGGTGGAGGCACAAATTTGGTGACGATAGCACAGGTCTTGCTGAGATATCCAGGATCGCAAGTGAGAGCTACGTTTCGAAACGAAACCAAAGCCTCTCAGGTCTTGTCGAAGCTCACCAAGGTGAGCGTTCTTGAGGCCCCATGTGGAGGAGGCTGGTGAGAGGTCACGGGCGGACTTGACTGACAGTCTTGGTGAAAGGACTACCCTTCGAGGATCGAACTTGTCCAGTGTGACCTCAACAAGCGGGTGGGCCTCCTCGTCATTTCGTGCGCTTTCTCGTGCTGATTTCGCTTCAGAGTGACGTTCGAACCATCACGCAAGGAGTCAGTCAGGCCGTCTGGTGCGCCTCAGGCTTCGCTCCGCCTCGAGGAGGGATTTTCTCCCGGCTGCTGTACCTCGTCAAGATCAAAATGCAGCAGGTGAACGAGCACACGGTGGAAGAGGGCTAGCAGTAGGTGGTGGTTCCAAGGAAGGAAGAGGAGGGTGAGGTTGCAGATAAGGGCTCGAGGAGTTATGTTCGTACAGGAAGAGGGAGAGAAAGGGAAATAGGAGTGATTTAATGGGACGGGAGAACAGAAGTAGAAGGGAAAGGGGAATAGAAGAGGTTTAATAGAAAAGTTGAACAGAAGTAGGAGGGAAAGGGACAGGAAGGCATAGCGTGGGATTTAACGTCGGAGCAGAAACTGAGGAGAGCTCTCGACATCCGCGGGCCTGCCATGATGGCAGAGGTAACAAGTTCATGATCAGCCTTCGCCCCTGAATGTGCTGCAGATGCTCAAAGACCAGCCTCCCCCTCTGATTGCGAAAGGAGAAGGCACCGTCACAGTTGAGAGGTGAAGCAGGAGCCCGCGGCTGCTCCTCCCCGTTCGTGACTCCCCAATCCTGCAGGAAGGAGCAAGGGGACGGAGTGGAGGAGACTCTCCCTCGGCTGGTTCTGCTGTCCAGCGCTGCTGTCACTCGTCCTGGATGGTCAGATGAGCAGAAGGAGAAGGTAGATCCGTCCCTTGCTCTCGTGCCGTCACGTCTTACCTTTTTCCCTTAGTACCCCGAAGCAGCAGGCATCGCAATCGTCAGGCTCAACCCTCTCAACATCCTTGGCAGCAAGCTGAAGGGGGAGGAGAAGCTGAAGGCGACAGGTAAGGTCTTTGAGGGAGCAGGGAGCAGGGAGCAGGGAGCAGGGAGCAGGGAACAGGGCATTAGCTGGATGAATCAAGGACGAAGGACGTGGCTGATTGAGTTCTGCAGGGGTTCCCTACACCATTCTTCGATCGTGCGGCATCAATTCAACACATCCTGATGGAACCTTTCAGCTCCAGACAGGAGACACGGCGGTTGGAAGAATCAACCCCAAGGTTGGTTGCTTCTCTCGTTCTGCTACTCCCATTTGCTCTACTCCCCATTTGCCTGTCTTCCTCCTCGTCCTCACTTTCCCTGCCTTGCTCGTTCTGACTTGTGGCGACCATGTTCTCTCCGACTTGTTTCGATGCCTCCTCAACCTCTCTCTAGGACCTGGCGATCTCTCTTGCGACAACGTTGGGGATTCCACAAGCAGCAGGTGATGGCGAGTCTTGAGGGAGAGAGAAACTGACAACATACAAGGCAAAACCGTTGAAATCTTCACAACTGAGAGGCCCACCAGCTTCTTCCCTTTTGCCAACCGAGGAACCAAACAGGTGAAGGAAAGGCCGCGGACGAGATTGAGGAGGGTGGGAGGCATAGGGGGTAGGAGGGAGAGGAGACAAAAGTGCAAGGGGGAAGGCAGGGAGGGAGGCAGGGAGGTTGAGATCAGATGGGCGTGAAGTAACTGCGGAATCGCAGATGCTCACTACCAAGTTTTCTGAGATCGTTCGAGACGACCAACGTTGAGCATCTACCCCAGCCACTACCCCAGCAGGTTTTTGACAAGATGGGACCCAGTTCTAGTGCTGCAGTGAGGTCCGGTCGATTATTATTTTAGAGTAAATGAACAGGGAGAAAGTAGGACAGCAGGGGCAAGGCGCGGGGGACAGTGACTGCTGCTCTAGCCCCTTCCGAATTTCTCCGCCCTCTTCATTTTCTTCTGCTGGGTCTTGGAGAGCTGGTACTCCACCGGCTCCTCCTCCTTGGACCCGAACACGGACGATCCAATCCACGTCAGCACCTTCCAGACCAGATAGAGAGGAAAGATAGAGTACAAGAGCCAGGCATAGTCGGAGACGAGCGAGAGTGTCATGGCGATCATGGAGAGGTACAGTACGTCCCTGCACTTCTCGACGATCCCTCCCTTGTCATCCAGCCGTCCACCCGACTCCAGGTGGCTGAAGATCCAGCTGTAGCATGCATACTGCATGACGACGGAGACGGCGAACAGGACGGTGTGCATCCTCTGCCATGTTGCACTGAAGATGAGGAACTTGATAAGAGCATAGAGCACTGCTAGTCCCACAATAGCTAACCCATGGTATTGCCTGCAATCAGCTTCTTATTTGGGATCCACTAGCAGCATCTTTGTGAGTGTACACACCTGAAGTCCTTTGTCCTCTGATCCGCCTTCTTTGCTGACTGGTTTGCCATGCTCCCCTTGGCTGAGCCTGCGACTTCGGAATCAGCTCAAAGGTCACGAGGTGCGTTACGAGTTTCTGCCCATTCTGAAGAGCACCATTCAAACATTCAGGATTCAGAAATTCTGAACGATTCTATCTAGCAAACACTCACACACATCCTTGCTTTCATGGGTCTTACAGCAACAAGAATCCTTCCTCCGTTCCTCCCTCACTCCCGAAACCCCTGCTTCTTCCATCCTGTCCTCTACACATCTAGCATCTGAGGGCTGCTGCGATCCTGCATGCCAGTCGCATCTCTTCTTTCCTCAGAGCAATCGTCCTCTGCTGTCTTCCCGCCCTCCGCTTGTTCTCAACCCTTCATCTCCTTCCCCTTGACCATCATCGTGCACGCGTCCTTCACCACAGGTTCGCTTATCTTGCTCTTTCTTGTGACATTTTCTGCCCTATTATCTCGTCTAATAATTACCCTGAGGTTGGCTTGTTATTTGAGAGTGCAGCGACTCGTAGTACTATGATACTCGCCTCGCCGCGGTGAAGTTGAACCGGGCGGCCCGGCGGCCCGTCCTGAGCACTCGCGGGGTGACTCCGCAGGTGCATACGAAGATCCGATGTTGGCAAGAGTGGACTCCGGGACACTCGACTCCGGCGATACTATCAGTTGGCACACTGCGTGACAAGTTGTACGGTCCTGAGGCTCGGTCCGCCGCCGCCCGGCGGCCGATTATGCCAGAGAGTCCGAGTCGCTGATCGGACCGTCCCGGAGTCCAGGAGTCACCAGGCAACCATGTCACTGTGCCCGGCCGCCGCCCACAGCGTGACGGTCCCGCCGTCCGATCACGGTGCTCCCAGCTGACTTTTAGTCACCTCCAGGCCCAGCCCAACCATAGTAGTATGATGCTCAGTCAGCACACGGCCCCGCGAACGGTGTGACCAAGGACAACTAGTCTGACCATGCTCAGTCTTGAAGTAGGCGATTGGTGACAAGAACTGTTGCTGGTATTTTGTTACAATTAGTCGGCGAAGTTGATTCCAAAGCTTCAGGTAGCCTGACGATGATGTTAGATCGAAAGATTGGTCAGCGACTTCTCTGATGATTGGAGCTGAATTAGAATCTGTTGAAGGACCTAGAAAGCCTTACACGGTATACCTTGCATGGGCAGAAGAGATGGAGTATATGATTGACCAGTTTCGAAAGTGTTCGCAAAAAAAACTGAACATAAGCTATTTTCGTTCAAAGGAAATTTTCAAGGAGTGAGTTCAGATTGATTTATCTATTTACAACCTAGTGTACATCTATGACATGTTTATCTCCTCTTCAAGGGCAATGAACCATCTCTTCACAACCAAGAGTGACATCTGTGAACGACTCCGATCTCCCGATCTCCTTCAAATGAGGCGGAGGAGAATTTCTATCCACAGATCCGTCCCCTTGCATGTTGGTCAGCTTCTCTCCGTACCTCCGCTTCGCCTCCGCTATGTTCTCCAACAGCTTCTGCCCGTCCGCCTGCACCTCGAGCTTTCGGCTGGCGGCGACACGCTGGGCTTTCTTGACATAGGACCACTGCTCGTCGGTAAGGCGGATGAAAGGACGACGAAGGGTCTTGGTGGCAGCGTATTCTTGAAAGCGAATCGTGTTCATGGTGGTGGGAGTGACAACCAGTGGGCTAGGGAGAGCAGGGAGGGAGGAACTATATACGGAGGGGGGGCGGGGGAACCTAGTTTCGAGTCACATGAGCGAGGCTGACTGCACCACCCCACCTTCAATGTAATCAAACCCGTAAGCTTTAATGTACCCCTCCTTTCATGGGGCAAAGAACCCGTCCAAATAAGCTTCACCATATATCCACGGCAGCCTGTCACGAGGCAAGAAACCGAAACAAGCTTGAAACGCTGCGGTTGAAGGAGTCACAGACTCAATGAGCCGGAGGTCACAGGGACACCCTCGTGACCGACATTGAGACTGAACGGGTAGTATTACCGGCAAATGGAGGGGTCTATCAATACCGATGTCATGACCGCACTATATGTCTGCAAGTTCATAGTTTCCGGACGCGTGACCAGTGGACTCGAGAAAGTCGCAAGGGAACCTTGAGGTCTCTTCCAAGTCAACCGAAAGCGCCATGACAGCCGCAGGCTGAGGAGTAAACGGAACTTTGCAAGGGCGACCGTGGGTTGGCAGTCGGAATGAAGGGGTGGGGGTACTAGGATCTACAAATTTGGGCCTATTGGAGGTGAGCCCCAAGAACCCTTGGAGGGTCACAGACTTATTATAGGGTGGGGTCCTGAGAGCTTTACACACGACGATAGAGGGGAAATCAACTTCGCCCATGTGACTGGAGACCAGGGAACTTGCTCAATAATTGTTCTGCTCCTGCAAACTCCCTCACGTCCCGCCCGACAGCAAGCATGCACACGATCGCACCTACCATTCTCGACAGCAAGACCCTACGACGACCCATTCTCCATCGACCTGTTCTTCGCCTTACCGACGAGCAGTGGTCCTACGTCACGAAAGCCCAGCATGTCGCCGCCAGCCGAAAGCTCGAGGTGCAGGCGGACGGGCAGAAGCTGTTGGAGAACATAGCGGAGGCGAAGCGGAGGTACGGAGAGAAGCTGAAGGCAGTGCAGGAGAGGGAGGATGGAACGGAATCTGCGAGGACGAGGAGGGCAGCGTTTCCACAATTGAAGGAGATCGGGAGGTCGGAGTCATATAGAGACGTGACTGAGGGAATCAAGGACCCCTCGTGGGGCAATTAGTTTGCCAATGTGAAAGAGTTTGCTGAGACGTTGTTTGTTATCGCTATTGCATTGATGTATCATAGAATGTAAATAGAAACAAAAGTGATCTGGATTCTTTATTGCTTTTACATTGAAAAAAATTGCCCTCTAGTGGTGATGTAAAGATCTGGTTGTGTCATAGCTCATGATGACGTGATATGAGTGAAGTAGAGACAGGGCATTTCTTTGCACTAACTGCACAAAGACGTACCGTACGCAACAAACACAGCTTGAGAGATCTATTTAACATTGATCGATTTGAATGTACAAATGGGTTGAAGACAAAAGACAAGCAAATGAAAGTGATTTCACTCTTTCATGTGCACTCCATGTTACATCGACCATGAGGAAATTGAAAAGACTGTGAAAAGACTGCTTCACTTTGTCTGTTACACTCACTCACTCACTCACTCACTCACTCACTCACTCACTCACTCACTCACTCACTCCACATTCACTGCTGTCCTTCATCGTTGCAGATCTTTCTGAAGCAAAACTTCAACTCCACAGGCGACGTCAGTACGCGGTTTTCTATCTCTGTCTTCGAGTCTGCTATAGAATCATGTCCTTGTGGTCTTACTGCAATAGCAGCATAGTCCTGGTTTTTCGCTGACTCCCGCAAATGGTTGTGCTTCACTTTAGTCCCTAGTCAGCGTCACAGATTGTTCGATTTAAAAGCGCGAGAGCGCGGGGGAAGGGAGGGAGGAAGCTCTAGGATAGGTTCGGATCAGGGAAGAATGTCTAGGGGAGCAAGAGTTGCTGTCCTGCTGAAGACCCGGCAACTATATGCGAAGGCATGAGAGGAAGGGATGGACAGACGCGCAGTAATTCCACAACTGATCGCTTTTACAACGACTTGCAAAATTTTGCATGCTTCAATCCTGGAGGTAAGATGACAAGGCGCCTTTATTCCCTCTCGTATCTACATCCCTTATTTCGATATACTACATCCCACTAAAGCAGCCCTAGGTTTCTCCCGCCTTTCTCCTCCCTCCCTCGCCCCCGACCCCGCCTGTCTGTTGCATTCTCCTTCCCCCCCCCGCCCTTCCTCTTACACCTGCTCCAACATGCTCGAGATCGCAGTCTCTCTCGACTCGACATCCATGCCGAGCTCCTGGCGCTGTTGGGCTGCTTGCCTGAGCTTTGCAAGATGCTTCTGTTTAGCGTCCGCAATGTTGTGCAGGAGCTGCTTGCCTTCACTGCGGATCTCGATCTTGCGACTCGCGGCGAGGTGCTGGGCGGCCTTCACGTAGGACCATTGCTGGTCGGTGATGCGCATGGAGGGGACGCGGACTCGAGTCTGACTTGCTGGGTTCATCGTCATGGTGATCTGCATAGCCTAGACGGCATGAACGAGGAGCACGAGGCGAGGAGAGATGTAGGGGCAACCGCAAGGGAGAACGGAGGATACGCAAAAGGGTTCTATGATCGGGGCTTCCGTATAATCCTTTTATTAACTTATTCAATACATCAAACTTGGAGGTCGGAAGAATAGCAGTAAAGAACTAGGTTGACTCCGCTTCAACTATACTACTTGTAGTAGGGGTACTCTCCTAGCCAAGCCCTAGCCTACCAAAGGTACCAGGCGCGCTGCTGCACTTGGCAGTCCTCACGGTCGGAAGGGCGGGGGCCTCCGTGAGGAGTCCTAGCCAAGAAGTTCTTCTGTAAGTCTCGGATCGTTCCTTGCCGCCCGTGAGTAGCAACTATTTGGATGTTTGACTGTAGCACCTTGAATAAGGGCCGTTTCAGCGCCGGTTCCCAGATTCAAGTCCAGCCTCCGGATTCAATCCAGATTCCAGATTCCAGATTCCGGCTGACTCCGCCTGATTTTTTCGCCGTGACAAAAGTTAATTTCTTGTTTTCTTCTCCAAATGTTTTGGAGAACTCAAATATAAGTCATTTTTATTGGAGTCAAACCCCGCGGCCCGGCCGGACGGTACGCCGTACGGTCGCCCGGCGCCGGCCGGGTCACCGCCGCGCCACTGCGCCATCCGTACCCTTTACTGACTCAAAGTTAACTTAAAAATCAGTACGAGGACCGTCAACTACCGTCGTGCCTTTACTCAAAGTGAAATTAAAAATCAGTCCCCCAAACTTAACTGATACCTTCACTTAACTGCGCGCAGGACAAGTCCCCCGCGTGAGTACCGTCCGATCACTCCGGGACGCCCGCGCGCCGCCGGCCCGGAGGCCCGGTCACCGCTGCCAGTGAGTCGTCGCCGGGCCCGGGCTTCTTTACTCAAAAACAGTCTGGCTATGGTTGGAAGTTGACGGCGGGAGTGGTTGGCGGAGTAGAGGGAAAGCAGCGAGGGGGGGATGAAGAGAAGAGACAGTACAAGGCAGTTCCACCTGATTGCTCTGATCTTGTCATGTATATACCTGATGCGAACAGGTAAGACATCTAACCCGTGGGACTTTGTTGAAGCCGCTCGCAGGTAGATGTTCTGAGCAGTGCCATGAAAGCGTCAAAGAAATTTTTGAGGTAATTCTGTCTCCGAACAGCACAAGATCCTTTTTCGTGCGAGATTTTGAGAACATGATGCCCGCCTCTGAGCAGCAGGTATGCGCCATTGATGTCTTGACGAACCTCAGTTCTGTGGAAGGTCGTGATGATCGCAAGGAACAGTCGGAACTACTTCAACGACATCATCAACATCAGCTCGGCTCAAATAATGGAGACTTTCGATGATTGTTTGTCAGTACACAGCCAAGATGCGATGGACGAGATGATAAGCGGCGAAGATTACCACCTCGTGAAAAAAGTGAAGGGAAAGGACGGAGAGTTCTGGAGTGGGAGGGTCCCCGGAAGGACGCACAAGAAGGACGACGTGATAAAATGGATGAAGAGAGGCTTCACGCTGGTCATCAACAACGCAGACATGCGATATCCGGGACTTGTCGGAGCTGCACAACGTATGGAAGACGCCCTTGGGTATGCCGTACAGATGAATCTGTACTTCACTCCTCCCTCCTCGCAAGGTTTCGAGGTGCACTTTGACCCCATGAACACTCTCGTGCTGCAGCTCGAAGGATCCAAAACATGGGAGGTGTACAACCCCATCATCGCTCTCCCTCGTCCTGAGCAGAAGTTCAAACCGAAGCACAAGGAGATCCATCACGGCAGTCGGCAGACCTTCACTCTCACTCCTGGATCGACTTTCTTCCTTCCGAGAGGATGGCTGCACGAGGCTCACACCAACAGCAGCTCTCTTCCTCCTCGTTCTCGTGCCTCTGCTTCCCTTCACCTGACCGTTGGCATCGATGCGCAGTATGTCACTTGGGAGTCAGTCTTGCACGCTGCTGTTGGCTCCCGCGACTCTAGATCGCCTGCCCTGCATGAGAGCGGTGGAATGGAGGAAGCTTCAGACAATCTTGTCCTGCTGTTGCATCTAGCGATACGTGGATGCGCGCTGTCAAACGTTTGGATAAGATCAGCCTTTCCTCCTGCGTTCGCTCGGGAGGAGCAAGGAGCAACGAGGTATTTGAGCAGGCGGATGAAACCGCAGTCTCTCATGAGCTGAACAGTGAGATGCTCTGGGGATGCGAGCAGCTCAAGGCGGCCGTCCATCGCGTCCGTGACTCGTTTGTTCCGGGGAGAAGAATGAGAGGCTTGAGGAAGCAGGACCGATGCCTGTCCCTCTCATCGGCTCTAGAGGTTGTAGAGCTTCTGCTGTCATCGAACGCTTCAATCCCGCCCGTCTGGTGACTTGCTGACGTGCTTTCTTCTCATTGTTTCTTGCAGGAATGGCACGCAGATGGGGTAGACAGCGATCAGGACCTTGTGAACAAGCTCCGTGACTTGGTTGCTTTCGCGCTTTGCCTGGTTTACCTAGCGATGATATTTTTGTGAAGGCTGTCAAGGAAGCGAACAAGCAGATCTCTGATGTTACAATCGCCTTCGATCGTTTTCTTCGCGAGTTCCCCGGTAGTTCTGTTGCCCCTGCTCCTGCATCTACTGACTTGTCGTGCAGAAGTTTGCATGAAAGCTGCGGAAAAGGTGGGAGAAGGGGTACAACAACATATGAAAGTTAGGAAAGAGAGGAGAAGACAGCAGATTGAGAGGCATTCAAACAAGTTTAGAACGCTTTACTCCAATCTTACACCACAGCACGAACACTTCCTGTTGTCTCTCGATGCCCCAAACGTCTTCGCCGTCCGAGGCTTGATATTGCCCTCCTCGATCATCAGAGGGCAGAGTACCGTCATCCCCACCATGGCTCCTCTCCTCCCTTTCCTGCTACCCGGCAAGAACCGTCCGGGAAAGCGACGATACACTGAGAGGTAGTGAGAAGAGACATTGTGAAAGCAAACAACAAACACACCTGGTATGCCATCCCCTCAAAGATCCCATGGTCAACCACCCCGACAATTTTCTTGATGGCCTGTGCAGCTTTGGTTGCATCCGCAATCTCCTTGCTGAAGTGCAGGTCGACGATGTAGTTGCCGTTGTCGGTCACGGCTGGTTCCTCCCCATCCGGCTTGTTGTTCGAGCAGTCTCCCGTCCTCAGCACAGGCTTGCATCCTTCTACCTCAGCAAGCGACGCCACCACATTCATGGTGTGGAGGTGGCAGAAGGGGGTAATCTCGACAGGCAGGGGGAAGGAAGGGCCCAGGCCCTTGCAGAGCTTCGACGAGTCCACGATGACCACAAACTTGTCTGAAACCACCTCCACCATCTTCTCCCTCAGCAGCGCACCCCCACCCCCCTTGATCAGGCACAACTTGGGATCCACCGCATCAGCGCCATCGATAGCCACGTCGAGCTTGGATTTCTCGTTGAGGGTACAGAGAGGGATGCCGAGGTCAAGGGCCTGCTTCTTGGTCTTCTCGCTTGTTGGAATGCACACTAGATCCTTCAGCTCCCCGGACTTCAGCTTCTGACCGACCCTCTCAACAGCATAATAGGCTGTAGAACCCGTTCCAAGTCCCACCACCATGCCCGAGCGGACGTGATCATCTACCGCCTTATATCTGCAACAAGTTTCAGCAGCAGCAAATCAACTCTGTGATTGGTCCATCCTATGTTTAAATCCTACCCAGTTCTCACAGGTTCTTACCATTTACTGTAATCCTGAACCATCCCACCTCCTCTACTCTCCTGATTGTCCACCTTTGGTCACGACCTTTTCGTCAGCCAAGTTTTCCTCTCCTCTCCTCTCCTCTCCTCTCCTCTCCTCTCCATCGCTCCCCTCCTTCCCCCTCCTCTCTCCTCTTCCCCCCCTCTCTCCTCTTCCCCCCCCCCCCTCTCCTCTTCCCCTTCTCTGTCCTCCTCGCCATACCCGGCTGCTTTCTTCGCTTCTTCCATTGCGCCTTCACGTGCTGAACCGGATTCAGTAACTTGGCGGGTACCGGGCCGGGCCCGGGCCCCGGTGGGAGGACTGCAACAACCGAGTTGCGACTAATGATTTCAGGATTTCCACAAAAACTTCAAATTTCGACTAAATGAAATATTTCGAAAACAAATCTCAAATTTTATCAGCTATTTTCAGTTTATTGAATTGAATCAATTTGCCAAGTACAACTTCTGCAAATGTAAACCCCTGCAGGTTTTTCTTAAAATGCGCCCCAATAATCTGAGTCATCCTACAGGGAAGTTTTGAGCCATGGCAAGAGGACGGTAGGGGAGGAGAGCCAGGAGGGGGAGAGGGAGAGACCCATGGAAGGGATGCAGCGAAGGGATGCAGCGAAGGGATGCAGGGGAGGGGGGGGAGAGAGAGAAAGTGGGGCAGCAGTAAGGACAGGATAGAGAGGACGAAGGGGAGGCGGGCTGAACCATTTGCTTCGCAAACATTCGACGAAATCGTAGTTAGGATGTGACGACCGTGACATGGTTTTCAGGAGCCTGGAGTTTGAAATAAGAGATAGGCTAGAACGATATCGAACGCTCGACCCTCCAGGAAAAGACTTGTCTGAAGCCTTGCGCATCGGACGACCTTTGGTATTTCTTTGAGTCAGAATGGGTTCGAGCCCCTGCCATGGATATCTTCACATCCTCCTTTTTGTGCTGCTCATTTCTCTTCAAGGAAGCAACTCCTTCATCTCCACACAGCATGGTCTGCTCCGCTATGCATCAGTCGGCTCAAGACAGCAAGACCATATTTGTGTCAGGCAATCTCGCTCCCTGAAGCATCTTCGAATCCCAAGAATGCAGCAGAGCGACTTGGGAAGTGATCGCAGTGACTGGCTGACGTTCAGGGAGAAGCTGGAAGAACAGTATCTGACCACTGGCAAAGAAGGCAAGGCTGGAGTAAAGAGGCTGAACAACGCGGCCGATAAAGCACAGACAACGTCGAATGTTTGGAAGTACGATGTAGGCGAATTAGTGCAAGCCGGGACCTTGCTGTTTTCGATCAACACGCACAGCCCACATGTCGACCAACAGTTTCACAAAAGTTTAGTGCTCGTCCTGTCCCACACCCCGCGTTACACACAGGGGATCATTCTCAACAGGCCATCTCAATTCTCGACGGAGAATGGATGGAGGCTGTGGCATGGAGGCAACATCCAAGGGTTCTCTGCTCCACGGGACTTGAAGCACTATCTTTGCTTGCACAAGTTAGATGGAGAGGTGAACGGTAGATCTGTTGTGTTGTGTTGTGTTGTGACATGATGTGTTGATAGGTAGCACAAAGAGTATCAGCTAAGATAGTAGACGGCGTCTACTTCACCTCCCTCAACTCAGCTGAGTCCCTTGTGCAAGCTGGGCATGCGAGAAAAGAAGACTTTGTCGTCTTCTTGGGATATGTTGGGTGGGCATCTGGGGATCTTGAAGCTCAGGTTGATTCCGGACTCAACAGGAACTGGTTCATAGCATCCGCGGGCAAGTCAACCAAGTCGCAGGTCTGTCAGGCCTGCCAACAAGTCTGCAAGGAATACTCCAAGAGATGCAACAACTGCGTGAGGAAGTCGACGGTCTCGTCGGACGTTCTGCTGGCCCGCATACTCGACGATTTGAAAGGTTTCAGCTCTACAGAGGAGGAGGCGGGGATCGACATATGGGATACTTGGATGTCTGCTGTTGGGCTTGGGAGTTTCTCGGCGAAATCTCAGTCAGAGTTGGAGGACGCGATGATGAAGGAGTGGGCGAGGAGGCTGCTGATTGACAGGCCCGAGGTACTAGGTCTCTTCTGGACCCTTCAGCTGACAAGGGAGTGACAGGAGATCCGAATTCCACAGCATACCCTCCCGAGCCTCAAGGCTGGCTTGCTCCTCCGGGCCAACGGCCCTGCACCTTTCATCTTCGCTCGAGAGGTTTGTCTGAGGTCGTGGAAGCAGCTTACGTGCTGACATGATGCGTATCGGACAGTATCTGCACAAGTCGGTTGTGCTGATTCTTGAAGACAACCGAGAACAGACGGTTGGAGTTGTTCTCAACAGACCGATGCGAACCTCAGTGAGTTTCCCTCCTCTCCCAGTACACCAGGTTGACTCATGACCTTAGGCTGTGAAACTCTCCAAGTTCTCTCCTGATCTCTTCGGGGGGCGCTGGCTGAGTTTTGGCGGAGAATATTCGGCAGGAAACCTTTCCCTCATAGCGATCCACACGTCGGAACATCTGGCGAGACAGAAGATCGGCATGAGAGTGTCTGAGGACTCTCAATTCTACATTTGCTCCATGGCAGACGTGTCAAAGTCCGTGTCTTCGGGTAGAGGCAACATGCGCGTTCCCCTTGGTTTTGATTCTGTTCCAGGGCAAGCGACGGAGAGTGATTATCTGTTCACCAGCGGGTTCTGTGTGTGGCCCAAGGTATCCTAAGCTGCTGCTGCAGCTCCTCCTCTTTATACTTCCATCCATGAAACACTCCTTCTCCTCCTCATACCACCTCCCCTTCACTCCCTCTCCTCTTTCTCCGCCCCTTGCCCCTTCTCCTCCTTGCCTTGTGCTCGTCTTGCCTTCTCTGACGTGATGACAGCAAAAGGTGGAGGAGACAAAAATCTCACAGGACATGTTCTACGGCAGTTCGATCCCTTCAGGCACCATGAGCGACTTGCTGGCTAAGGAGATGTTCGTCCCGGTAGACCATCTCAGCGTCGACGAGTGGACCCACCTCAGAGGCCAGCAGCAGCCCGTGTCCCGGTCCCGGAGGCTCCTTCAGCGATGCGATCGAATCAGTGGAAGGTCATTCCGACGAGGGTGAGATTTCTTCTCTTCCAGATTCTCCTCCTCCTTCTCCTCCACTACAACCACAAACTCCACCTTCTCCCTCCCCCTTCCCCTCCCCGTCCTCCTCCCATTACTCCATCTGTCTCATCGCCCCCTCCTCCCCCTCCTCCTTCAGCGTACTTACATTTCTCTTGCTGAGAGAGCATCTTAAGCTGATCTCAAGTGCAGGAAGCTGGATTGGGAAGGCGGAGATAGAGGGTGTAAGGGAGTACAGCTGGGGTGTGACGTGTGGGAGTCGTGCGTGCAGAGGGAGGGAGCGGATGCTGGAGCAGGTGAGGAGAGTGCCCAGCAGGAGGCCTGCTCTTGACAGGTGTGTTGACAGGCGCGTCGGGCCCTCACGCTCTCTTTGACGAGGAGGTTCTTGGTGACATCGCACTGTGCAACTACGTGGAAAGGAACCTGCGGGCCAAAAGAGACACCAGGCGCTTCGGGCGGGTGCGGGTGCTGAAGGTTCAATGAAGACAAGGCCGTACCTTCAATTCCCTTCCACGTCTACTCAGCTCTTTTTCTTTTCCTTCTCTCCTTCCACGAGTTTTTGATCCCCCCCCCCCCCCGCTCTCCCGCCCGCTCCTGTTCATTCCTTCCGTGCCAGCAGTAGGCAGTTCTCAGGTGACACGGAGCTGGCGTCGCAGTAGTGCACGAGCTTGGCCTTGAGCCCCTTCCTCCTCAGCCACTCGACCCTCCCCATATCGAGAATCCGCTTGCACATCCTCCCCAGCTCTTGCTTGCGAGTGCGGGGCAGGAAGGACGCTGGGTGGCTGTCGATTGAAGAGGAGGGAGCTGAAGCGCCTGGATTCGCTGTTCCTCCCTCCTCTCCTCCTCCTCCCTCCTCTCCTCCTCCTCCTCCTCCCTCCATCCGCTCGCCTGCCTCCTCCCTCCATCCGCAGCACGCCCATGACGTCATCAGGCGGATCTGCGAAGAGGGTGAGGAAGCGGAGGAAGTTTGGGAGCACAGATGAGCACCAGGTCGAAGGAAACCTCTTGCGCAGGCACTCCTTCCTCGCACAGCCGCTGCCATGCCCGTCAGCTCGCGGTACTCCAACAGGTTCTTTACCTCCTCGACCCATCCAGGGAGCACATAGCTCGAGGGATCACAGCGATGATGGCAGCATGTCGCAATTGCTATTCCTCGAAGATCTCCTCCTCCTCCTCCTCCTCCTCCTCCTCCTCCTCCCTCATCGCTCTCTGCATCCTTCAGCGTGTTCACAGCACATCGAGCCGCTAGGTCCGTCGCTCCTCCACAGAGATGCTTCCCCAGCACGACAACAGCTGCGTCATGCATGACTGGGACTTTTCTCAGCTCCAGGTGCGCGATGTCCATCCTAATCCGCTGGAAGAACGCCTCCTTGTTGCAGGACAGCAGCCTGTCCGCCTTGTTTCTGCATGCTCCTCTCTCCACCAGCAGCACCGAGCTCCTCGGCGCCGCCTCCCGCACGGCTATGGAGAGCATCCCGCGTCCTGCTCCCATCTCGACGTAGGTGAACTGGTCCCCGACTAGCTTCAGCTCCTCGAGGTGACCGACGATGGAGGCCTGCTGCTGGATGTGCCGCTGCACGCTGCTCCCTGCCTTCTGCCCCTTGTGACTCTGACCTCGCCCTGATGCCGGGCTGTCTCCGGTGAGGAGGGCGTGACAGGAGGCGGAGGAGAGGACCTGGGAGGGGATGTTGCCGACCAGACGGTGATAGACTCGCTCGATACATTGGAGGAAGAGCTCGAAGTTGGAGAGCTTGAGGATCTCGAGGTTGAGAGAAGCCTGAAGGAGTAGACAGAACAGTCAGCCCAGGATAATAGGGGTAGGAGGAGCGGTGCCATGAGGAAGAAGTTGAGATATCAGACAAGACAAGACAAGACAAGACAAGACAAGACAAGACAAGACAAGACAAGACAAGACAAGACAAGACAAGACAAGACAAGACAACAGAAGGGAAGAGCAGAGCAGAGCAGAGCAGAGCAGAGCAGAGCAGAGCAGAGCACAACAGAGCAGAGCAGAGCACAACAGAGCAGAATGGGAAGGAAGGGGGTGCGAACGAGGGTAGGGAGAGACGTATTGATTGACATGCCTGACAATTGTTCCTGGACCTCATCTCGCTCTCGTCCATGTCGTTGAGATCCTCCTCCTCCTCTCGCAGGAGCTGCGAGCTCGCAGCAGCGTCCTGGTTCATATTGATGTTCTCCGAGTAGAAGGGAAGCGAGCGCTGCTCCTGCTTCTCCTTGTACTTGGGGCAGTGCTGCACGTGCTTGCCCAGCGACTTCTCGTAGATGGTGTGACTGGGGTCGTGCGGGCAAGGAATCCTCTTTCCCTTGTCCTTCCATGTGGAGGTCTTCCTCTTCTTGCCCACCTCCTCCTCAGCTCTAGCCGTCTCCTCAGCCTCCTTGCTCCTGCTCTCGACGTCGGCGAACGCTGTGGCTGATGTCGTGAAGCATTTGGAGGCCATGGCCCCGTGGCCCTTCCCCCTCACCCCTGCACCACAGCTCGTCATCCTCCAGCCAGAGCTGAGAACAAGCACCTTCTCCCAGCTGGGGAGGTTTGGGAGCTACCCCTCCCATCATCTCGACCTCTCCTATGTGCACACCGCAGAAGTCGTAGCCGGCGGTCCGTTCCATCCCGCAGAACCTGTAGGAACGTCAGACAAGGAGAGGAGGCATGAAGAAAGGAGGGGGGAGGGAAGGAAAGGGGAGGGGAGGGGATCACGGAGGAGCTGGGGAAAGCGGGAGGGGTGGGTGGGGGAGGGGGGGGGG